AGTAGATTCTTTTGGGGTTTTTTACTTGATTTTCAAAAATGGAATTTGAAAGCGAGACCCCCTTCTTTATCTTTCATTTGGTATAACTATTTGAGCCGGATGAGAGGAAACTGTCATGTCCGGTTTTCGGGGGGGGGATCATATAGTGGACCCTATCCCAATTTTTCTTTTGCTAGGCCCATAACTAAAAAACCGACTTTCTTACGATTACGAGGTTCATTTGAATATGAAATTCAATCCTGGAAATACAGCATCCCACTTTTTTTTACTACTCAAGGTTTCGATATATTTCGAAATCGAGAAATTTCTACTGGGGCGGGTGCTATCCGAGAACAATTAGCCGATTTAGATTTACGAATTATTATAGAAAATTCGTTGGTAGAATGGAAACAATTAGGAGAAGAAGGTCCCAGGGGGAATGAATGGGAAGATCGAAAGATTGTAAGAAGAAAAGATTTTTTAGTTAGACGTATGGAATTAGCTAAGCATTTTATTCGAACAAATATAGAACCGGAATGGATGGTTTTATGTCTCTTACCGGTTCTTCCTCCCGAGTTGAGACCCATCATTCAGATAGAAGGGGGTAAACTAATGAGTTCAGATATTAATGAACTCTATAGAAGAGTTATCTATCGGAACAATACTCTTACCGATCTATTAACAACAAGTAGATCTACACCAGGGGAATTAGTAATGTGTCAGGAAAAATTGGTACAAGAAGCCGTGGATACACTTCTTGATAATGGAATCCGTGGACAACCCATGAGGGATGGTCATAATAAGGTTTACAAGTCATTTTCAGATGTAATTGAAGGCAAAGAGGGAAGATTTCGCGAGACTATGCTTGGCAAACGGGTCGATTATTCGGGGCGTTCAGTGATTGTCGTTGGGGCTTCACTTTCATTACATCGCTGTGGATTGCCTCGCGAAATAGCAATAGAGCTCTTCCAGACATTTGTAATTCGTGGTCTAATTAGACAACATCTGGCTTCGAACATAGGAGTTGCTAAGAGTCAAATTCGTGAAACAAAAGGGTGCGATCATACCAGCACTAATGCACCGGATCCCATCAGAACTCCGCAGTTAAGCGTGCTTGGGCGAGAGTAGTACTAGGATGGGTGACCTCCCGGGAAGTCCTCGTGTTGCACCCCTTTTTTTGTTAATTTTTTTCTGTATTTCTATCTGAAACTTCCAAAATGCGTAGCTGGAAGACCGTGAGGCCGTATGCTGCCACCAACCACTTTTCGTGAAGCTCCAAAAGAGCTCTAGGCGTAAAATATCGTTTGGACCCCAAAAAATGGCGTTTGGACGCTTTTCCGGGCCGTTTTCTGGTGCGGACACAAAATCAATGAATCGAAAGTGCTATGCATAGTGTTTTTTGGATGCATCCATCCTCCCTCTCACATAAGGGTCACTTAGGACTCCGGATCGGGCCTAAGCATCAAGTGGGGCCTACGCCGCCGAATAAACGTTCAAGATCCTCTCGGAAAGGCATATATGCGTTTGCGCGTCATAAACAAACGGGTGCGATCATACCAGCACTAATGCACCGGATCCCATCAGAACTCCGCAGTTAAGCGTGCTTGGGCGAGAGTAGTACTAGGATGGGTGACCTCCCGGGAAGTCCTCGTGTTGCACCCCTTTTTTTGTTAATTTTTTTCTGTATTTCTATCTGAAACTTCCAAAATGCGTAGCTGGAAGACCGTGAGGCCGTATGCTGCCACCAACCACTTTTCGTGAAGCTCCAAAAGAGCTCTAGGCGTAAAATATCGTTTGGACCCCAAAAAATGGCGTTTGGACGCTTTTCCGGGCCGTTTTCTGGTGCGGACACAAATCAATGAATCGAAAGTGCTATGCATAGTGTTTTTTGGATGCATCCATCCTCCCTCTCACATAAGGGTCACTTAGGACTCCGGATCGGGCCTAAGCATCAAGTGGGGCCTACGCCGCCGAATAAACGTTCAAGATCCTCTCGGAAAGGCATATATGCGTTTGCGCGTCATAAACAAACTGGGTGCGATCATACCAGCACTAATGCACCGGATCCCATCAGAACTCCGCAGTTAAGCGTGCTTGGGCGAGAGTAGTACTAGGATGGGTGACCTCCCGGGAAGTCCTCGTGTTGCACCCCTTTTTTTGTTAATTTTTTTCTGTATTTCTATCTGAAACTTCCAAAATGCGTAGCTGGAAGACCGTGAGGCCGTATGCTGCCACCAACCACTTTTCGTGAAGCTCCAAAAGAGCTCTAGGCGTAAAATATCGTTTGGACCCCAAAAAATGGCGTTTGGACGCTTTTCCGGGCCGTTTTCTGGTGCGGACACAAAATCAATGAATCGAAAGTGCTATGCATAGTGTTTTTTGGATGCATCCATCCTCCCTCTCACATAAGGGTCACTTAGGACTCCGGATCGGGCCTAAGCATCAAGTGGGGCCTACGCCGCCGAATAAACGTTCAAGATCCTCTCGGAAAGGCATATATGCGTTTGCGCGTCATAAACAAACGGGTGCGATCATACCAGCACTAATGCACCGGATCCCATCAGAACTCCGCAGTTAAGCGTGCTTGGGCGAGAGTAGTACTAGGATGGGTGACCTCCCGGGAAGTCCTCGTGTTGCACCCCTTTTTTTGTTAATTTTTTTCTGTATTTCTATCTGAAACTTCCAAAATGCGTAGCTGGAAGACCGTGAGGCCGTATGCTGCCACCAACCACTTTTCGTGAAGCTCCAAAAGAGCTCTAGGCGTAAAATATCGTTTGGACCCCAAAAAATGGCGTTTGGACGCTTTTCCGGGCCGTTTTCTGGTGCGGACACAATATCAATGAATCGAAAGTGCTATGCATAGTGTTTTTTGGATGCATCCATCCTCCCTCTCACATAAGGGTCACTTAGGACTCCGGATCGGGCCTAAGCATCAAGTGGGGCCTACGCCGCCGAATAAACGTTCAAGATCCTCTCGGAAAGGCATATATGCGTTTGCGCGTCATAAACAAACTGGGTGCGATCATACCAGCACTAATGCACCGGATCCCATCAGAACTCCGCAGTTAAGCGTGCTTGGGCGAGAGTAGTACTAGGATGGGTGACCTCCCGGGAAGTCCTCGTGTTGCACCCCTTTTTTTGTTAATTTTTTTCTGTATTTCTATCTGAAACTTCCAAAATGCGTAGCTGGAAGACCGTGAGGCCGTATGCTGCCACCAACCACTTTTCGTGAAGCTCCAAAAGAGCTCTAGGCGTAAAATATCGTTTGGACCCCAAAAAATGGCGTTTGGACGCTTTTCCGGGCCGTTTTCTGGTGCGGACACAAAATCAATGAATCGAAAGTGCTATGCATAGTGTTTTTTGGATGCATCCATCCTCCCTCTCACATAAGGGTCACTTAGGACTCCGGATCGGGCCTAAGCATCAAGTGGGGCCTACGCCGCCGAATAAACGTTCAAGATCCTCTCGGAAAGGCATATATGCGTTTGCGCGTCATAAACAAACGGGTGCGATCATACCAGCACTAATGCACCGGATCCCATCAGAACTCCGCAGTTAAGCGTGCTTGGGCGAGAGTAGTACTAGGATGGGTGACCTCCCGGGAAGTCCTCGTGTTGCACCCCTTTTTTTGTTAATTTTTTTCTGTATTTCTATCTGAAACTTCCAAAATGCGTAGCTGGAAGACCGTGAGGCCGTATGCTGCCACCAACCACTTTTCGTGAAGCTCCAAAAGAGCTCTAGGCGTAAAATATCGTTTGGACCCCAAAAAATGGCGTTTGGACGCTTTTCCGGGCCGTTTTCTGGTGCGGACACAAAATCAATGAATCGAAAGTGCTATGCATAGTGTTTTTTGGATGCATCCATCCTCCCTCTCACATAAGGGTCACTTAGGACTCCGGATCGGGCCTAAGCATCAAGTGGGGCCTACGCCGCCGAATAAACGTTCAAGATCCTCTCGGAAAGGCATATATGCGTTTGCGCGTCATAAACAAACTGGGTGCGATCATACCAGCACTAATGCACCGGATCCCATCAGAACTCCGCAGTTAAGCGTGCTTGGGCGAGAGTAGTACTAGGATGGGTGACCTCCCGGGAAGTCCTCGTGTTGCACCCCTTTTTTTGTTAATTTTTTTCTGTATTTCTATCTGAAACTTCCAAAATGCGTAGCTGGAAGACCGTGAGGCCGTATGCTGCCACCAACCACTTTTCGTGAAGCTCCAAAAGAGCTCTAGGCGTAAAATATCGTTTGGACCCCAAAAAATGGCGTTTGGACGCTTTTCCGGGCCGTTTTCTGGTGCGGACACAATATCAATGAATCGAAAGTGCTATGCATAGTGTTTTTTGGATGCATCCATCCTCCCTCTCACATAAGGGTCACTTAGGACTCCGGATCGGGCCTAAGCATCAAGTGGGGCCTACGCCGCCGAATAAACGTTCAAGATCCTCTCGGAAAGGCATATATGCGTTTGCGCGTCATAAACAAACTGGGTGCGATCATACCAGCACTAATGCACCGGATCCCATCAGAACTCCGCAGTTAAGCGTGCTTGGGCGAGAGTAGTACTAGGATGGGTGACCTCCCGGGAAGTCCTCGTGTTGCACCCCTTTTTTTGTTAATTTTTTTCTGTATTTCTATCTGAAACTTCCAAAATGCGTAGCTGGAAGACCGTGAGGCCGTATGCTGCCACCAACCACTTTTCGTGAAGCTCCAAAAGAGCTCTAGGCGTAAAATATCGTTTGGACCCCAAAAAATGGCGTTTGGACGCTTTTCCGGGCCGTTTTCTGGTGCGGACACAAAATCAATGAATCGAAAGTGCTATGCATAGTGTTTTTTGGATGCATCCATCCTCCCTCTCACATAAGGGTCACTTAGGACTCCGGATCGGGCCTAAGCATCAAGTGGGGCCTACGCCGCCGAATAAACGTTCAAGATCCTCTCGGAAAGGCATATATGCGTTTGCGCGTCATAAACAAATGGGTGCGATCATACCAGCACTAATGCACCGGATCCCATCAGAACTCCGCAGTTAAGCGTGCTTGGGCGAGAGTAGTACTAGGATGGGTGACCTCCCGGGAAGTCCTCGTGTTGCACCCCTTTTTTTGTTAATTTTTTTCTGTATTTCTATCTGAAACTTCCAAAATGCGTAGCTGGAAGACCGTGAGGCCGTATGCTGCCACCAACCACTTTTCGTGAAGCTCCAAAAGAGCTCTAGGCGTAAAATATCGTTTGGACCCCAAAAAATGGCGTTTGGACGCTTTTCCGGGCCGTTTTCTGGTGCGGACACAAAATCAATGAATCGAAAGTGCTATGCATAGTGTTTTTTGGATGCATCCATCCTCCCTCTCACATAAGGGTCACTTAGGACTCCGGATCGGGCCTAAGCATCAAGTGGGGCCTACGCCGCCGAATAAACGTTCAAGATCCTCTCGGAAAGGCATATATGCGTTTGCGCGTCATAAACAAACTGGGTGCGATCATACCAGCACTAATGCACCGGATCCCATCAGAACTCCGCAGTTAAGCGTGCTTGGGCGAGAGTAGTACTAGGATGGGTGACCTCCCGGGAAGTCCTCGTGTTGCACCCCTTTTTTTGTTAATTTTTTTCTGTATTTCTATCTGAAACTTCCAAAATGCGTAGCTGGAAGACCGTGAGGCCGTATGCTGCCACCAACCACTTTTCGTGAAGCTCCAAAAGAGCTCTAGGCGTAAAATATCGTTTGGACCCCAAAAAATGGCGTTTGGACGCTTTTCCGGGCCGTTTTCTGGTGCGGACACAATATCAATGAATCGAAAGTGCTATGCATAGTGTTTTTTGGATGCATCCATCCTCCCTCTCACATAAGGGTCACTTAGGACTCCGGATCGGGCCTAAGCATCAAGTGGGGCCTACGCCGCCGAATAAACGTTCAAGATCCTCTCGGAAAGGCATATATGCGTTGCGCGTCATAAACAAACGGGTGCGATCATACCAGCACTAATGCACCGGATCCCATCAGAACTCCGCAGTTAAGCGTGCTTGGGCGAGAGTAGTACTAGGATGGGTGACCTCCCGGGAAGTCCTCGTGTTGCACCCCTTTTTTTGTTAATTTTTTTCTGTATTTCTATCTGAAACTTCCAAAATGCGTAGCTGGAAGACCGTGAGGCCGTATGCTGCCACCAACCACTTTTCGTGAAGCTCCAAAAGAGCTCTAGGCGTAAAATATCGTTTGGACCCCAAAAAATGGCGTTTGGACGCTTTTCCGGGCCGTTTTCTGGTGCGGACACAATATCAATGAATCGAAAGTGCTATGCATAGTGTTTTTTGGATGCATCCATCCTCCCTCTCACATAAGGGTCACTTAGGACTCCGGATCGGGCCTAAGCATCAAGTGGGGCCTACGCCGCCGAATAAACGTTCAAGATCCTCTCGGAAAGGCATATATGCGTTTGCGCGTCATAAACAAATGGGTGCGATCATACCAGCACTAATGCACCGGATCCCATCAGAACTCCGCAGTTAAGCGTGCTTGGGCGAGAGTAGTACTAGGATGGGTGACCTCCCGGGAAGTCCTCGTGTTGCACCCCTTTTTTTGTTAATTTTTTTCTGTATTTCTATCTGAAACTTCCAAAATGCGTAGCTGGAAGACCGTGAGGCCGTATGCTGCCACCAACCACTTTTCGTGAAGCTCCAAAAGAGCTCTAGGCGTAAAATATCGTTTGGACCCCAAAAAATGGCGTTTGGACGCTTTTCCGGGCCGTTTTCTGGTGCGGACACAATATCAATGAATCGAAAGTGCTATGCATAGTGTTTTTTGGATGCATCCATCCTCCCTCTCACATAAGGGTCACTTAGGACTCCGGATCGGGCCTAAGCATCAAGTGGGGCCTACGCCGCCGAATAAACGTTCAAGATCCTCTCGGAAAGGCATATATGCGTTGCGCGTCATAAACAAACGGGTGCGATCATACCAGCACTAATGCACCGGATCCCATCAGAACTCCGCAGTTAAGCGTGCTTGGGCGAGAGTAGTACTAGGATGGGTGACCTCCCGGGAAGTCCTCGTGTTGCACCCCTTTTTTTGTTAATTTTTTTCTGTATTTCTATCTGAAACTTCCAAAATGCGTAGCTGGAAGACCGTGAGGCCGTATGCTGCCACCAACCACTTTTCGTGAAGCTCCAAAAGAGCTCTAGGCGTAAAATATCGTTTGGACCCCAAAAAATGGCGTTTGGACGCTTTTCCGGGCCGTTTTCTGGTGCGGACACAAAATCAATGAATCGAAAGTGCTATGCATAGTGTTTTTTGGATGCATCCATCCTCCCTCTCACATAAGGGTCACTTAGGACTCCGGATCGGGCCTAAGCATCAAGTGGGGCCTACGCCGCCGAATAAACGTTCAAGATCCTCTCGGAAAGGCATATATGCGTTTGCGCGTCATAAACAAACTGGGTGCGATCATACCAGCACTAATGCACCGGATCCCATCAGAACTCCGCAGTTAAGCGTGCTTGGGCGAGAGTAGTACTAGGATGGGTGACCTCCCGGGAAGTCCTCGTGTTGCACCCCTTTTTTTGTTAATTTTTTTCTGTATTTCTATCTGAAACTTCCAAAATGCGTAGCTGGAAGACCGTGAGGCCGTATGCTGCCACCAACCACTTTTCGTGAAGCTCCAAAAGAGCTCTAGGCGTAAAATATCGTTTGGACCCCAAAAAATGGCGTTTGGACGCTTTTCCGGGCCGTTTTCTGGTGCGGACACAATATCAATGAATCGAAAGTGCTATGCATAGTGTTTTTTGGATGCATCCATCCTCCCTCTCACATAAGGGTCACTTAGGACTCCGGATCGGGCCTAAGCATCAAGTGGGGCCTACGCCGCCGAATAAACGTTCAAGATCCTCTCGGAAAGGCATATATGCGTTTGCGCGTCATAAACAAACGGGTGCGATCATACCAGCACTAATGCACCGGATCCCATCAGAACTCCGCAGTTAAGCGTGCTTGGGCGAGAGTAGTACTAGGATGGGTGACCTCCCGGGAAGTCCTCGTGTTGCACCCCTTTTTTTGTTAATTTTTTTCTGTATTTCTATCTGAAACTTCCAAAATGCGTAGCTGGAAGACCGTGAGGCCGTATGCTGCCACCAACCACTTTTCGTGAAGCTCCAAAAGAGCTCTAGGCGTAAAATATCGTTTGGACCCCAAAAAATGGCGTTTGGACGCTTTTCCGGGCCGTTTTCTGGTGCGGACACAAAATCAATGAATCGAAAGTGCTATGCATAGTGTTTTTTGGATGCATCCATCCTCCGAGGGCGCCAATGTATGGTGGCTAGGTGCAAAGGTGTATTCCCATCCACATCTTGCTCCTCAATCAAATGATTTTTTGTGTCAAGTTTCCTTACATAACCCAAAAGAAACGATTCAGCTTTTCCACGCTTTGCTGCGATGTGAAGAATGTTCTGACCTTGTTCGTTGAGCAGGTATATTGCATCTGGACAACGTTTCAGAAGCTCTTTAACAATATCCATATGGCCTTTCTCAACTGCCATATGGATTGCAAAAGAACCATCATTATCATCGCCATCACATTCATAAACATTTGGGGGTGTTGATAGGACTAAAAGCTTGTATATGCCTTTATAAAACCCTACTGATGCCCCAACCGAAAGACATGTTCGCCTTTCTTCATCTCGCTCATTGACAAGGCTAGGATATTTGTTTAGAATAACATCAAGAACATCTGCCCAAACAAATAGGATTTTAGTTTATCGAACTAAAAACGATTCACTTAGTCTCCTCCATAAAAAAATAAGTTCAAATAGACCTGTATTCTTGGCCTTTAGAGCTGCATGTACAAGTGATTTTCTCCCTTCCAGTATCGAGGCTAAGTCAAAGGTTTTTCCCTGGACGTTATTACCAGGAAGGTTCAACATTGCATTCACAAGTGAGACATTACCAGCTTCTACGGCCATATACAAGGGAGATACTCCATCTTTATTCTCAAGAAACGAAGCCTGTTGGTTCGCTTTCACTAGATAGGCAGCTAACTCCATTTGCCGTATTGATGTATCAGGAGATGAAATGATTACTTTTTTATTCATAAGGTGAGTCATGAATATTAGCAATCTGATACGATTGTGATACATCCGAACCTAAGAGAGAAAATATCAATGCATCAAACTTAACTGTTGAGGTTTAAAAAAAAAAAAAACTTAGGAGGTCAAAGACATACGACCTAAAAGAGGGAACTAAAAATGGATTCTTCATACAATAAACCAAATAAGTATGGAGTACAAATGTACAATAGTCTAAGAAAATTAGTTCAGTTCCATTCTAGCTTGTAAGTTTGATCATAACGAAAAAGGCTTTTTTTTTTTTTTTTTTTCTGAGAAACACTATGGACTAAAAGAGTAAAGAATGTCTTTATTTGTGGTCAGTCGAATTCAGCTAAATCAGTTTACTGATGTTTACAAATTTATAGCACACAATAAGATCAGTGTGCATTACCTCTGTTTTTTTATGGAGGTCTTTCAAGGCTAAGTGCAGAGCAGTATCTCCGTTTATGTCCTTCATAACATATAGATTCAAGTTCGCCTTATCTTCTTCATGTAGTCCAGCTGAAAAATACGTTAGCGACTCAACAAGAACCTTAACAATTGCTGAATAACCAGCACCAGCCGCCACATGTAGCGGAAGTTGATACTTGGAGTTTTTCTCCAATAGAAGAGATGGACATTCAGAGATTATCCCCTTCACTAGTTCAAGATGACCCCAAGAAGAAGCAATGTGAAGAATGGAATCTCCTTTATTGTTCTTCAAACATGCCATTGGTGTTGTTTCGTTGGTTTTCATCTTCTTCAGAAAGTCTATGTTTCCACCTCTCATTGCGCTAAAGATCTCTGGATTCATCAGCACATCTTCACCTGGACGGTTGTTAAGATCTGACAGTTTGAGATTGGTAAGGAACTTGGGCACAGTTTCAGTGTCTTCCATAAGTTGCGGGCCTTGAGGCAAACCTCGTGAACTGATCATGCATGCACCTTTGTTTATCATTTTCATGAGGAAGGATCTTTGTCTCCGTTGGTCATGAGACATATCCGTTGACCTCTGTGCCTCAATTGTATCTAGACGTGCTTCAGAACAGTGCATCGAAAGCCTAAACCATACCAAGAAAGAGAGTTTGAGTTACCAGAATCAAAAAGCAAAAGTCAACGATACAAAGAAATTGAGTTTTACCAAGTGGAAGAAGGAGATAAGAAATGCAAGAGAATAGAAAGACTATGGCTCTCTATATTCTCATCCATTTGTATAAAGTGTTTATTAAACACTGAGCCATGTGCGTGCAGAGAGGTCAGCTACAAATTGGTGGACGGTCTTTCTTTTATCAGAAATAATTGGAGGAAAGAAGTATTCAATCAACTTTGATATAGAGGGAGTCATGTTCTCAATCTTCTACTTTGTCTCGACGATGCAATTACAGAGACAGTTTTCATATTAAAGATTATAGAGATGACTTCGAAAAACGAGATATTAAAGAAAGACCCGACTTATTTAAGTTAGAAATGAAGACTTATTAGTAGTCGTCTTCTAAAGAAAAGATAAAAGTTTGTAGTTTGTCGGGAGTAAGACTTTTGTAGACGGCGTCGTATCAACGAGCTTATATAAAAGTCCTCTAATCATGGTAATAAAAAAGTGTTACAATATTGGACTCATTACAGGACAAAGAGGCAGGTTTGTGTTGCCGATACTAATGCGATTCTCTCTGTAGCTTGAGTTTGATGAATTTAACCTCACATCTCTCACTCACAGCACTCTTTGTTGATTTCAGAACAAAGAAATTGAATATTAAAAAAGGAAGATGAAGAAGACACAAAATTATAGAGTTTCCCAAACCGGATATCTCTTTATGATCTTGTCTTGACTGAGTCCAACTTCTCTTTCAACTTAATTGTATTACTTTGGGCTTCATCTTTGACAAAGCCCAACTTAGTCAATTAACATAAAATTAATCTCTTTGTGTATCTCAGAGTAAATTAGTCAGAATTACCAAAAGACTTTACACATATAAACGGGCTCTTAGTGGGCCATATGTTTCAACAAACGTTAGGGCTTACGGAAAAATGAATATACTGTGGTGGAAGATTAGGGTTTTTAGTATGCCGGCTCGTACCCTCTATATAAATCTAACTTTCTCTGTTGCCTCAAATATCCTCGTAGACACTTTCTCTTGCTTCGATTCACCTTTTGATTCTCTGTTTCGTTGATTTTTATTTCAATCGATTGTTTTTGGGGTTACAAATTTTTTTATTTTCCCGATGAAGAAGCAATCCCATTGATAGGAAGTGCCGTTTGACACTTTACACAACAGCGGACTGAACGACGATGCATCCGGTTTAAGTTTCCAAACCGATCAGTAGTTCACGACCGTATTCGTATCCGGTAACCCCGGGTCCGTCTGCGGATCCGGTTCTGTCTGGTCGGTCTGGTAATTCTTTACCGTACTTCCCACCGTTCCGTGTCCGCTGTGTGGGTGATTTGAAAAGGGTTCGCTGAGGGTTTTATTTGTTTTTTAATTTTTGTTTTTTATCAATCGTCCGATGCCACGTCGATGATAGCTTTCTGGGCTTTGATCTTTGATGCTACATTGGACATACACAGATGTTTGTGTTTCGCTTACAGATAGGAACCTGTGGATCTTGATTTCTCCACGATCTACGGAGCCATTTCGGCGATTACATTTGTTAATGTGTTTGATAATTCTTTTGAACTAAAACTAATTAAGAGTGATTAAGGGAAGATTCCAATGATGATTATTGCTAAAACATGGAATTACCGTCTGATTTCTTTGATGTAAAAAACGCTGGCTAAGCTGAGGCCTTCCCTACTCTAAACAAATTAAAAGTAAACTAAAAAAACCACAATATTTTATTACTTTAACGAGATTATTAATTTATCGAGAGATAGTTATCAAAAACTGAATTTGGGACTTGAAAATTCTATTCATTTATCGAGGTATTACTTTATAGACTATTACTCTATAGTGGTTCTACTGTATTTTTTAAAATAAAGATTTTCATTTCAAAGGTTCTATTGTATTTTTTAAAATAAAGATTTTCATTTCAATGTATCTGGTATTTCAAAAACTTAATTTTGAAGCAGGTTTTGTTAATAATTATTTACCTATTAGAACTTTTGAGCCAAGAAATAATAAATTTACTATTTATATTGAATACTAAATGGATGAAGACATAAATTTTGGATATTGTGGATATTCTACATCAAGCTAATTAAATTTTGAAAGAACAATTGTTAAATTGTAGATAAGTTTCTTCAGAACCCAATCATCCAATAGCCAAAGAATCAATGATGAATGAAATGAATTAATGAAAAGTTGTATCGTCATTAGCAGGAAAATAAAGAACAAAATATAAAACAAAACGCCGTTATGTCATTTGATCTTATTCAATCTACAAAAGAAGATTTTTGATTTTGAATTACAAAACTATTTCAATTTGGAGGGCTGCTGTATCAATTAAACCCCATAACCCAAAAAAAAGAATGATCAGAATCTAAAATTCTTGAATCCAAACTCTGAAGTAATGTGTAACTAAGTAGGAGGGAAGAATCTGTTGAGGTTAAAGGGCAAAGTGTAGAACTCTTCATTACGATTATCACCACGGAAAGTTCTAAACTTTACCCACCAAGGCATGCCTCTGTCTTTCTTCGACCTCTCAACCTCCATCGTATTGTCCATGAACACCGCAATGATCAAACCCACGGTCGCCGGAGACATGAACACAGTGTTCAAAAACGCGTTGAACCACCCCGCGTTCGTGTGAACCAGCCCGTAATGTCTCTCGTCCCAGTACTGAACAAAGAACTGAGGTATGGAGATTCCGAGAAACAGCGAAAGACCCGTGATCGTCAAGTTCCTCATCGAGTTCATGTTCGTGAACTGAAGAAACGAGAGACCAACCGCAGCTGCATGCAAAAAACATACAAAATGTAATCAAATTGTATATTATATGATAAAGTCTCTTTCTTTAATGTTCTTGTGATCTTTACCAACGAGGCCAAAGAGGACACAGTGCAATGCTGCGTATATCGGAACTGGTATAGACGCGAACACCGCACCGAATTTGCCTGCTCGGAAATACAAACAATCGTAACGTTTTTAAAAATCACATAGGATTGGTTAAAGGTTGAAGCTTTAGTTGTTATATACCTAATGTAGAGAAGAAGATCATGAAGCCTGCTGATACTTGAACAACACGACGACTTCCTACTCTTGTTAACCCTAGAAGTCCTACATTCTCTCTGCAAACACATTCTTCATTAGAGAGAGACTGTAAAACACGTAAAAAGATTAGCTTTCCAAGAAGTTACTTTTTCACTTACACAAGAACAGTAGAGCCTGTGCCTGTCCCAAACAGACCATCAAGCAACACACCAATCCCCTGTGTTTTCAAGAAGAAACATAGCCTTTAAGATATAGAAGAACAAGGTTGCGAAATAGGTGTTTTCTTTATGAGACTTATTTGATTCACCTGCCATCCAATGCCTCTACTTAGTACATAAGCAGGAGGTGGCGTGGCTATAGCTAATCTTGAAGCTGCCATGTAAGCTGCAGTCGACTGCATAAATGTAACAACTTCATTTCATCTTCTAACAAAAAAAAAAAAATCAAAGCTTGCAACGAATCTAACGACGTTGCTCTCTTTTACCTCGACCATGGATACAAGAACCGCAGACATCATAGCGAAGGAATGGCCAACTGCAAACGTTGGAGGTCCCCATTGGAGAGGGTATGGGAATTTGAACCTGATGAGACATTACAGTAAATAGCAATGAGAGAATATGGACAAATGTAAACCAAAATATAAGATGATACTGAGTTGTTTTTTTTCAATACCATGGAGCTGTTGATATAAGATTTGCTCTGTCTGTTCGACAACTATGCTGTGTATGTGATGGCCTTCCTCTGTAAGCTCCACTCGCGGTGAGGATTATGGCGTAGATCCAAACGAAAGTCACGCAGATCAAGATCGGAAATCTCTCAAAGATCGGTATGTCTTTAAACGGTCTGACATGTTTTAGATACTGCCAAGAAGAATGTAAATGTAAGCAAGAGAGGGAAATAGAACACACAGAGAAAGTCGAAGTCACTCAAAATATTTACTTACTTGTGTTACTCCGATGACGAGCAGTAGCATCGGTAGTCCTATCTCAATGCAGTTCCCGAGCTGGACATCAAGATAATCAAAAAGAGATCACTTTTTTATGTTTAAATGCAAAAATACAATGGTGATGAGCAGGATTTGTATGAGTTTACCTGTGGAAATCCTCGCTGGAACATCCCGAGACCAACCAATCCGACAACTGGTGCCATTCCTAGAGGACTGAAAAACCTGAAGATCGGAAAGAAAGTAATGAATGTCTCTACGGAAAAAAACAGAACAAGAAATTAGGACTATACCTTGAGAACAGTCCCCATACTTGGCTGTATCCGAGAATGATCTGTAAGCTTGATGCTACAATCAATGCTCCTTGTATAGCTCGCATTGTGTGAACAAACCTCTGCAGAGAACATACTAAACTTTCTTGATATCGAAACAGTTTTAACAAAATGAACTTTGTTGTGACATATCTATAGTACCTCATGATCATTAGAGATCTTTTGCAAGGAGGAGTCGTTAATGATGTAAGCAATGGGGACTACATAAGCAAAAGAGCCTCCAACAACAGCAGGCAACCTCGTGCCGAAAAGAGCTTGAAGAAGTGTCTTGATACCAGCTACAAAGAGTAGCGTCTGCATCACTCGCGCTTTGTCCCCCTTCAGGACACAAGAGATTAAGACTAGTTTGGCTCAAGACATAAACAAGAAGCAGATTTGTAGGCTTACATCGGTCCCACCCATTGCTGGTACGAGCAATGCAGGTATAAAGGCACTTGATCCAAGCATTAGAATGTAGTTTTGAAATGCTAGTAACACTGTTTCAGCTGCAACAAACACAGGAAGGAGAAAAATGGTTCAATTGTATAGCATCTATCTTCAAAAAGATACAAACTTTTAGATGTTCAATAAACAAGAAACAATGTTCAATTATATACACAATGTTTAAAAATAGAAACTTTAGAACACTACTCCTACACCTAATGAACCAAGAAGGTCCATAGAAACAACCAGTAAACAAAAATTGGTCAAAATTTACATCCCAACAATCACAATGAGGTTTGTGAAAAAATCAAAACTTTGATTAACTCCATTAAAGGCCCCACCAAATTTTCTTTCTCAGTTACAATAATATCAGCAACCAGAAATTTCAATCTCAAAACAGCAAAAGAAGCTTATAGGAGAAAATGTATGTAGAACACAATGAGTTTGTGAAAGGAGAACAAAAAAAAATCAAAACTTTGAATACTACATTAAAGGCCCACCAAAATTTCTTCTTAATTACAATAATTTAATCCACAAAGTGAATTCAAGAAGGTCATTGGTCCATACACATATATTATAATCCACTGCAGAAACTATATTAACAGAGAGAGAGAGAGAGGTTTTACGCCAAGAAGGATTAGAGTCGATGCAATACTCAAGGTCTTGAAGCTGTTCCATTGGAGGATGACTTATCTCCGCCATGGCTATAGCTTAGGCCGCCACAGAACAATAAGAACAAAAAAAAAAAAAACCCTCCTTTTCCGATGAAGCAGCCAGAGGAAGAAGAAGAAGAAGCAAAAAAAAAAGTAAGAAGAACCCAGGGAGAAAAAGTAAAGTTGAGATATAAAGTGAGAAAGGAAAAAAAAAAGGACAAGAAATAAATGTAAATATTTATATAAAAAAAAGGAATATGCAAAGACAATGGCACTGCGAATTTAAAACCTTCTCTCTGTAACTTGTTTTCTTCTCTCTCTCTTCTTCTTCTTCTTCTTCTCTCTGGCGTGGCGTTGATGAGCTTTCTTCTTCTCTCTCCTTTTTGAAAATGTTTGGTTATTTACAGATTTGCCCCTGATTTGCTTCTGTATCTACCAATAAAGTGTGGGGTCCATCCCAACGGAGTTACTTCACTTCTCAGGTTATTTTGGTTTTTAAATTTGTTGTTGCATGAGATCTTTAAATGCAAATCTTTTCGCAACTTGAATTCTGCTTAGTGGTAGTTATTTTGCATTTATTTGCAATTGTTTTCTTTGTTACGTTTTTTTAACTAGTTACTACCATTTCATATACTCCTAAGTAAACTTCTAAAAAACCTACCCAAAATAATTTTTGAGGTTAAAATTAGCTGGAAGTTATTTATTTTATTTAAACGATTCTGAGATGGGTTATGCAAATTACTATTTAAAGATTAAAAGTATAAAAGTGTTATGTAATTTCTCAACTTTTCTAAAATTTCTTAAAATTATATGAAATATTTGTCACAAAGTTAAAATCTTACTCATATTATTAGATATGGGAAAAGATAATAGATTTAGTTATCCATTAGTGGACTAAGATTTATCTATGAAAAACTGTCAAAATCACTTCGTTTAGTATATATTTCTGATTATATAGAGCATATGTATGTTTATATTTTAATTTATTTTATGAAAGTGTTGTAGCTGATTTTTTAATTTTGATTGATATCAATGAAATTGGAAGAAAAAAAATAGTCTTGTCTTGTCTTCAAATTCTTTTTGTTATTAATTATCTGCTTTTGCTCATTCATACCCCTAAGTAAGTCGGTGCAAATTAAAGATTTTCTTTGTAACTGTGAATTTGATTTTCTGTATAACCGTGAATTGGTTGATTAAGAATAAAATACCGAACTTTAGTAGAATATATGAATGAATCAATAAAGATTGCACCCAAAAGAAAGAAAGAAAAAAAGATTGCACGAAATCCTACTCTTCAGCATGGTTTGCGATCTCTTTATGGTTAAGAGAGCCAAAATTAAATTGTTGAAATTCGCAATCCTTGGACAGTCATAATATCATTCGGCATGCATGATTTTTCTGTCTTGTGTGTGGAAGCACGTGTTATCTTTCTTAATAGTGATATACTACATACTCCTACTATACAATAAATTATCTACCAGACAACAGATAAAATAAAGAATGCATTAATGTTGTTCCAAAATTCCTCCGGGAGAAAGAGAGACTTGTTTTTCCTTTTCTTCTAGTTAATTAAAAAGAGAGGGTTGCTGAGTATGAATAATAATGTAAGTAAGTCCTTTATATTTAGCCTCTCTAAAATATGTGTATTTTTTTTAATTGGGGAGTGATCTGAACTTTAAATATATGACTAGTTTTTCCAAACTAAGTGTAACTGAGTAGTCTATTCACCAGATTTTCTAACGAGTCTAAAACATGATACTATTTTAACTGGTCAAGTAAATCGATAATCTTTATAACATTACCGATTGCGATCAGTTACATTTTATAAGTAGGTAAGCGTGAAATTATATTCACATTTTTATCAGAACAATAACTTTACTTCCACCCAAGTCTTATGCAAATACCATAGTAAAATACCATAGTACTTTATATTATAACTTGAATAGGTTTTCGAAGATACGTGAGATTTTATCATATGAATCATACTTGTCTTTTTGTTCAAAATAAAATTTTATAATTTTCATAATCTAAGTTAACATCGTAAATTAGAATTTGTCGTGTTCACGTTATGCGCAAGATTATATCAGTTATTTTATTTGTTGTCATTATGCGCAGACAATCCAAATATCAGTTCATTTCATCTCTAAACATTCATCAGCCTTGTAGTAATAATGTAATATCAAGAAATACCCTTTTATTAGTTTGTAACATAAAACTTAAAACATATATACGTATAATATTAAGATTCTCAACAACACAAAAGAAAAAATAACGCAGTTTTCACTCCAAACCCGTCCGTCCTTTTAGCGGCCACCGACTGTCTTTTCATTCGGAAGATTCCGACATATGTCTTCTTTTAGAGGGAATAAATGCTTCTAATTCTTTATACTCCACATTATTGCAAGCCACTCAGGAGTGAGTAATTCATTTTTGTAAGAGTAACAACAACTAAGAATGCTACAAATTTAGGTGATTTGGGCGTGGATTGCACATTCCACACTCATAGAGTTGACACTTGAGAGATTATTCATAACCTCATAAAAAGAATTGGACTGATTAATTTCCATGGTGTTATTAACTAATAATACCAGCAACATAATAAAACCATACAAAGTGTAAGTCATACTTTACTTCCGAGGCTAGTAAACAAAAATCAATGAAATTTGATACCCGAACAACAAAAAAAATTGAAGTTAGGGGTTTGCATTGCACCAAAGAAGAAGCGTAAACCAAAAATTACAAAATCGAATAGAAATGAAACTAAGCTACGCTAATGGGGTTTACTCAGTGTCTTTAGCAGGTCCCATGTAAACAGTGTAGCTCACCGATATGAGAATAAGCAAACACCCTACAAGGCGGCTAAACAAACCTGACGGCGCTGCTTTTCCCATACCCATCATCCATAACTGCGATAACACCACCTAATACGAGAGCAACAAGCAACAACTCAAAACTAAGTCTTTTCTGTAAAAATCCATAAAACTGAATCCAAATTGAAGATATCTACTCTAAACCATTAAACTGTCTTTATTATGGAAGTGGAAGTCTACCTCCATGTACAGAACGTTTGCAGCTTTGCTGATTTTCTCAAGCTGAAGTCCGCGTGCCAAAAGTACCTTGAGAAAAAAAGAAACCCATACTCAGCTGTTTAGTTTCCATTCGAGTTGCTTACAAAATCAAAACTGCGGAGACGCAGAACGTTTACTGAATGCCTCACCTCGGCGCAAAACGCCAGCAACCCTAGTACGATCATGCTAAAGAGCGTTTCAAACGCTGGCATCACAAAGCTCTGTATGACAATATTCAAGGTTATGAGTAAGACTTATGAATCAGCCAACACTGTTTGTACTTATATGGAACATACCTCCAAGGAAAACATGCAAATTGCTGCAGCGGGGCAAGCTACCAAACCAAACGAGAGGACAGTAATCCTGAACAAAAATGCACATCATTTATTTATTGATTTCTTTGTAACTATAGATTCTTCGCTAAAGAAGCAATATGTGTGTTGGTTGATGGCACATCTGAATTCTTAAATCTCACACTGGCTGTTCCGATGCTTTAGCAGCAGCCTTTATTAGACAATAGCTGATTCCTCCAGTGATTGATGATAATAAACCCAATAATACCGCATAAATATGGTGGTTTCCTTTAAGACTTTCACTATTTACTTCTGATCCAACTGCCAAGAGAAGATAACTGAATCAATGTTTCCTCATGCTTAAAAGACAGCCATGTGCAAATAAATAGAGAGCTATTTTTGTTAACTCACTTCTGTACCTTGGACAGTAAGTGTCGGGCCAAAAATAAAAAGCACGCCGAAGAAGCTGCAAGCAAGACCTGGACCAATGCGGGAAATAAGTCATATATCGACTTGCATTTTTGTCCCTTCACAAATGCATATTAGGAGATAAAAAGCTAGCTACGTACCTCCAATATCAGTTATTTTCAATTTCTCATGCAGAACAACACGTGCTGCAATGGAAGCCATAACTGGATTCACAAAGCTTAGCACAATAGCTTGAGACAACGGCAACATCTGGATGCTGTTGTTCACAACGTCAACACCAGTGAAAAACAGGGGTTACAATTCTAAGTTAGTACCAATGACAAATTGATTTGCGGAGAATGAAAGTCTGTTGTTAATTTTAATCTCAATACAAGTGATAAACTATTTTCAGTATATAAATTTAACAGACTACTATTTTTCCATGGCTACGGAAGTTAAGTTATGAGTACGCACGGAGCAGAGTGTGAGTGTAATTACCTAAAGATGAAACAAAACAACGAAAGATAACCCACGAGGGCTCTTGAAACCAAAAGCTTCCTCGCATGCGCAGGTCCAAAAACTGGTTGCCCGATTCTTTTCAACCAAAGGTACGATAGTATCAAGATAATTGTGCATCTCATGAACGCGGTCTCAAACAAAGGAATTGGCTGAACTGTCATAAACAAAGGGAATTAGCAAGAAAAAATATATCAGCATTCTAGATAACAGACATACAAATGGTACAACGCTAAAACGCCAGAGGAAGACGCGGATTAAAAGGTAAGCTTCACACTCAGTCTAAGCAGAGAGGATTCCATTTCAACAAGAGAAGACAAAGTTATTCATGAGGTCCACCATTTCAGAAACTAAAGAAAATCCAATACAGATTCATCCACCATGTGAAGAAAAGGAAAAGATGCATAGCCTCAGCCCAAAATGTGAAAAATTATTAATCATCTTACACAAAACCATGAAACTGAGCACAAAGCAGTCACTGACCAGAAAAAGCATCTGAGGCTATCTCCATGATGAGGTACAGTGTCGATGACAAGGCCATACACAGTAAGCCAGAGTAACGAGACCCATTCCAAACCCACGAAGATAATTGAGTTAGAGGTGATATCTCCGTTTCAGTTACTTTAAACACTTGCTCCTGCACATTCACAATCAATCCGAGAAAGCCATAATAAACTCTGATTCTCAGTTCTTATCAACGACCTAAGCTAGAAACAAAATCACCGGATGAATAAAGCCATTACGTAAACGAATTTCACAATCAGCGAGCATTACATTGAATCTCCAATCGAAATCATTAACTAGCGAAATATCGAATTTTAGCTGAATTGTTCATCAATTATAAGCATTACCACAGAGATCATAGCTGCAGGAGTTATTCTCTTACCCTGGGTTTGCGCCGAGTGTAGGAGGCGGAGAAGATGTTGATCCTGGGTCTTTGGTTCTGATTCAGGAGAGGGATGATTTCGTCGGAAGCTAATGTAGGTGCGGAGGCGGATTTTTCCAAATCCGGAGAATCTAGATCGCGGACGGTGAGCTCCAGCGCGAGGTGATCGTCGTCGGCGATTCTGGTCTCCGTAGAGGAAGAAGCCATGGCTACGAAAACCGCATCTAACCGAAAGATGACCAAACGAGTGTGTCAAAAGAAGCCGCGTCCAATTATAAATGTTGTCGTTTGCCGTTAGATTAGACGTTAACGGCGATGATTTTTTTTTTTATGTGAGTTCAAAGTAATTATAGGAAAAAAAAAAGAAAGCCTTAGACCATTTTAATGTATTCTATAATTTCTCATTTATTTTAGTATATCATTATAATAATTCACGAACTTTATTTTAGGATTTTTAAAACTATTTAAGAACAAATATTAAACAAAATATGGTTACTGTTAAAACTTAAAAGTAATAAAATAATTTTGAAAACCCGATAAAGAATATATAAATAACATAATATATTACAACAAAAAGTAATATATTATAGTCATGTAATATGTATTGTTCTGTAATAAATATATTATAATAAGATATATCTTTAAATAATAAAGAAAATTGATGTTTTAGTACGAATAACATGTACTACTCTATAGTCTATAGTACTATGATAATTTTGATTAAGAGTCAAATCATTTTCGTTGCTTTCTTGAACTTTATAAAAAATTGTTTTTAATTCCAATTAAATGGTGGAAAATGGAATCACACAATTAAATTATAAAGATTATAGATTATTATTATTAAAGGTTTAGTAAGATATATAATATGGTAATTATGTATTTTTCGTTAGAATATGACATGTAAAGATATTTGTTTTTTTTTTTCCATTATAATTTGGAACATTTTCCGTTAAATTATGGACAATCATTTTTTTTCTGTTTGTTTAACATTTTTCTAATTAGTTTTTTTTTTTCTATTTCAATACACATATCAAGATATTAATATGAGTTAAATTAAAAAATCACACATATCGTCGAGATCATGTGAATTATAATTATCCTAATATGGCATGCAAAAATATTGTTTTCTTTTTTCCATGATGAATTTTTTTTCTGTTTAAATATGGACGATCGTTTTTTTCTTTGTTCTTTTTGTTTAACATTTTTTACTAATTTTTTTCATTTTCTTTTTCAAGACACATGTCAAAATCTTAATAAGAGTTAAACCAAAAAATCATACATGTCACAATCCTATGAGTTATAATTATCCAACGTGCCACAAACACGTCAGCGGCATGCAATGTAATATAATAATATAGTGTTTATGTCCAATGTATATCCTTATTTTTGAAAAAGAATATTCTAAATCTAAATTTATTAAAAAAAAATATTTATAAATTTTACAAAGTAACAGCATTTATTTCATTCTCTATGAAAAAATCCATAAATTAGTATATTATTTAAATTAATTTTAGAAATCATTCTACTATTTTGTTTTTTTTTTTGCTAGTTTATCTTTAATTTACCTAAAATGTAGGCGAGTCTTCTGTAACATCCCGGTTTGTGATAAATGAGGAGAGGCTTAAGAGAATTGATTTGGTTACCTATGTCAACAAAGTGCACTTACCTTTTCGGTCAAAGGTCTATAAGTAACTCCAGTTAAGCGTGTTTGTGCTGGAGTAGTTGAAGGATGGGTGACCTTTCGGGAAGTGGTTTCCGAAACCGTGTGAATGAGGCCAAAACACGGGGAAAGGTCAGATGTTGATTGCAGGGTTAGTAAACAAGTCATTAGAGCCTCTCGAAAATAACGGACCGGCCGTCGGACAGGGGTAAGGCCCACGGGCCTCTATATGATTTTAGATAAACAGTTTCCTCTATATTATACATGTTCTGAAGATGCAGTCGGATCCGTCATGTCAGGTAGAAGTTGGCCTTATACCACCTTCAATCGTGACTAGGTAACATCTTTTGAGCTCGCCCGAATATCTTCTTATGATGCATTAGAATTCAGTTTCTAATTTGTTGTCACACAGAGATTTATTTATCTTAATTTTTTTGCCTAGCTATGTTTTATTGTCTTGTTGAAAGGTGTTTAATTTCCTCTTTTGATTGTAAGAAGATCACAAGTTTAGATTAATGAAACTAACAGTTACACACACACACACACAAAAACCTTGATTTTACATGGAATGTTACAAATAATTCCAAATTTAATATAAATTAGGTAACAACTTGTGCGAAATAAACTATTTTACTGATCATAGTTTTGAAATTATTTAAAGTAAAAGTACCTTAACTGATTTTCTGTGTATGTTAATAAAAAAATTACGAGTAACAATAAGATTTTTAGTTCAAATATTACCCTTCATATTTTCATATTCAACAGGCAAAAATTACAGACTCAGTTTATTTTGACGACAGAAAAAATAAAAATTTTATTTTAATTTTTAATGATCACAAGCTAAATTATAGAAAAAATACAAAATACTAAAATATAATTGGACAAACAAATAAAATTAACATATAGTTTTTGTCTTGCGCGGATCACTTCACTCGCAATAACGATCACATAAACATCTAATGAATCCTGGCGCATATTCTTCATGTACGCAACGACATGCACAAGGTTTAGGTTCGTGTTTCGATGATGAAATGCACCCAGCACCATTAACTTTGCCGCATGCGCTTATTATGTATGTCTCCACGCTCGGACACGTCTTATTACCTTTCACACTCGTTCCCTTACCTGGGGATTAAAAGTTTTATAGACAAGACATTTGATAGCACAAACATATCTTATATGAAATTAAGGTCTAAAACTTTTTTTATATTTCTATCCCAAAACTATTTTTTTTATTTGATAACCATCTGTCCATCTCTATTGCGATTTGTAATAAAAAAAAAAATCCTAAAATTTAATTAAACCATAAGAATGTTGATATTACCTTGAACATGACTGAACGTGAGTGAGACAAAAATATAAGAAACCATAAACAAAGTAACAAGCCTCATGCCTGATCAGTAGTAAAATTATAGAAAAGTTTGTTGTTTTTACTTGACAAATTTTATTTTATATCTAATTATTGGAACAAATATGTTTTCTTTTTTCTTTTTAAAACTTCGTAATAAATATATGCATTACACTCTAATTATAACTATTCTACTAAATGAGGAAAAGAAATACTAGGCTTGGGTTAATTCAACGATATCATAGTTAGTACATTCAAATTTAGAAAACATAATCTTAGAAAATTTCACATGTTCACAAAAATTTTATACCAATTATAGATATTTTCAAAGATGTAGTTGAAGAGGTCAAAATAAACACAAAGAAACCGATACAGGAAAAAATAAATATATAGGTGAAAGTAGATAATAACAAATTTTACAGAGGCAAATGTAAAATAAAATAAAATGAAATTGTAGTAATAATCAACTATTAAGAAATTTGATGTACTCAACATCTACATGCATTTAGCATAATATTCTGCATAGTTTTGTACATCTCTAAGTCTCTTTTTTTGTGTGTGCAAAATATGATTTTCATTAAATCCTTAAACCGGTCCTTGACCGAGGTCAGCTAAAGCGTTTTTCGCTTATGTTGATCACAAGTTAACAACACCTAAGAAACATACCAATAATGATGAGAAAACAAATGTCTCTTAACAATATCTCTTACACTAAGTTTATTGATAAATAATAATAGTTAAGAGACATTTTAGTGGTCATGGCAATTATCATGGCGATCTAACGCCTATCTCATATTGATTTTGTCGTTTGCTTTGCTATTTACTTTCTTGCGATTTAGTTCATACAGTTATCTATTATTCTCTGTTTTATCTTGATCTCCATAGTTTTATGTTCGGTCTTTGTGGATCGATAACTCTCATACATACTTACCTCGTTTTGTGCACTTGCAGATTTAGTTAAGAGATTGGATAAAACCTTGAGACTGTTAAAGGTCATGAACTGAAATTTAGTAAAGCTTAGAATTGAACAATATGCAGATTGCTTACTGACTAGTGGTTTTAACTAGACTTTAGAAACATAGACCCTATACTCTCCTAGCTCTATAATCGAAAAACACAACATTATGGGGTATCATAATTTCGAGAAAAGAAACTAGAGAACACTTGGGCAAAAAATCTCCACCAGCTAACCACTAAATTTCTACATAGACAGATATCAAAATTTATATCGTTCGTCCTTTAGGAACTCTCACATGTCCATTCTGGATTTCTGCCCATAACAAAGCGTTATTAACCTTGGAGAGATTGTGGGTTGAGATGAGGGGAGAGAGAGAGTTTGGATTTGACATGGTCGAGATGAGAGTTGTGTGTGTGATCCTCTGCTTCTTCTTCGTTGCATTTGTGCTTCAAACTGATTCTTCCTCATCGTCAGTAGTTCTGACGCTTTCAGAACACAAGACACTCGTGTCTCCTGGAGGAATCATGGAGCTAGGATTCTTCCAGAATCAAGGAGAGGGTTGGTATCTTGCGATATGGTACAAGGGGGACGCTGAGAAAACTTGTTTGTGGGTAGCCAACCGAGATACACCGCTCATCGGACCAAAAGGAACACTAAAAATATCAAAAAGCAACCTCGTCCTTTTCAATCACGAAAACAACCCTGTCTGGTCGACCAATGTGAGCGGGCAAGGTGTGGGAACGGTGGCGGAACTTCTCGACAACGGCAATTTCGTGCTCAGGAGCCCCAGCAAGAATGGGTTTTTGTGGCAGAGCTTCGATTTCCCGACAGATACTCTGGTGCCGGGGATGAAGCTTGGGATGAAAGGTACACCGAAAATCCTGAGATCCTGGCTAACTCAGTTCCAACCGTCAAAGGGGATGTACGATTTTCAACTTAGAAACCAGTCGGGGCTCTTTGAGCTTTTTGTTTGCAGAACAGATGCTTCAAAGTGCATGTACCGAAGCGATCCATGGGATGGATACGGGTTCGGTACTATTTCAGAGTTAGCACAAGACTCGGATTCCACATTCGTAATGAAAGGGCCAGTGAACTCGAGATTAACATTGGGTTGGGAATCAGGGGATGTTAAGCTATTTACATGGATACCAGAAAAACTGGAATGGGTTTTCGAATGGTCTTCTATCTCTCATCCCTGCGATAATTATCATATATGTGGATCTAATAGCTTCTGTTTCATGCACTCACAAGTAGAGGATGAATTATGTTATTGTTTGAAAGGTTTCTATTTAGTTGGCGGGTATAGTAACGCTTACTGTAAGAGGAGGACACCGCTGACCTGCGGGGGAGATGGGTTTTTCCCGATCAAGAACATGAAGCTCCCGGACACCAAAAATGCAATTCTTGATATGGAAATGGACTTTAAAGATTGTGAGGAGACATGCTACAGAGATTGTGGGTGTACTGCGTTTGCGCATATGCAAGTCGAAAAAGGCCGGCTCGCTTGTGTGAGATGGTCCGGAGACCTCGAGGATATGCGAAATTACACCATCGGCGGGAAAGACCTCTATGTCAGAGTCTCCGCTAAGGATCTGCTGGGTTAGTCTTATTTTCCTCTGTTTTTTTTCCAAAAAAAATTATTTTAATCGTCACAAACAACGCCTAATAATATACACATTTTTTCAAAGGACACATGTGTATTGCACGTTTAAGAATAACAAAATGTCGTAATTACTTTTTAGTGTTATATAACTGAAATCAAGTATTAGATGTAACTTTTTAATGATCCTAAAATATCAAAATTGCGTATAGGATTACCAAAGATTTGCAAAGCTTATAGCTCATCAATATCAAATTAAGGAATAAAAACCAAACGAATACTCTGTTTAGATCTTTTTATTTATTTATTTATATATAAAGATGTAGAATTACAATGAAAATATATACAATAGGCAAAATTTACTTTAAAAGGACACATGTGTATTGGAAGTTGAAATCTATACAAATTACATTTTTAATGCTATATTTTTTTATATCAAATATTTTATGTAACTATTAAATGATCCTAAGCCGCTAATACCTTGACAGTTAAAATTTATAAAGTATGGCAAATTAGTAACTATATTAAGTCTCATACACTTGGGTTTATAAAAAAACTAATGGAATTTTCTAGATGGAAAGTTAGCAAAGAAACGGTTTAAAAGTAGATTTTGGTTTGGTCCTAACTAATCGAACATCTAGCATGTAACTATATATTCAATTATTCATATAAATAAGTAAACGAGAATTACTTTTTAGAACAAAAGCGAAACTAAAATCCCACAAGACCCAAAACTACAACACGCCAAACTAATAAAAGAACAAGTTACAACAAATGCTACTTTGTAGCAGAGGTTTAGAGAATAATAAAGTTTTTACTTGTTGTTATAGAGGATGAGACAAAGAATGAAGGCAAAGGCCTGGACTCATGGATTATCGGACTCATCGTTGGAGCAGTTCTTGCCGGACTTTCTTTGTTTTGCTTCGTTGGCTTCTGTTATTGGAAGAAGCATAAAAGTAAAACACAAGGTAAAAAACCGAACACTAAATTGTTTTCTATCTATTTATATATATATATATATAATACTGTATTTGTTGGTTTCACTTATTTCATTTTATTTCTTAATGCATTAGGGTCAATCCAGACAAACATTGCCATGACCGAAATAGCTGGACCAGATAGGTTTCAGTTTGTGGCGTTCGACGTTGTTGCGGAGGCGACAGATCATTTTTCAAATGCCAACATAATCGGACAAGGTGGTTTCGGTACTGTTTACAAGGTACCTTTAAAGGATTTTATTATTAGATCCGTAGGGCATTCCTTATAATATATTAATAATAGTTGTAGCTAGTCACGATCTGTTCTTTTTTCATTCAACTAAAAATATTAATGTGATTGCAGGGAACGTTACTTGATGGAAAAGAAATTGCGGTAAAAAGATTGAAAGCCAGATCATCACAGGGGATGACTGAGTTTGTGAATGAAGTAAGGCTGATTTTACGAGTTCTACACGTGAATCTTGTCCGACTTGAAGGATGCTGTTATGAGGCGGGAGAGAAGATTTTGATCTATGAATATCTTCGCAACTCATGCCTGAGTCGTTATCTCTTTGGTCAGTGTATCTCTCTCTCTCTTTTCTAGATTGTTAATTCTTGTTTTCATAGATTACATATTAAACTTGTATTGGGTAATCAACTCGTAGATAAAACCCAGAGCCGGTTGTTACACTGGGAGCAACGCTTCAAGATTGCGAAGGGGATCGCGGAGGGGCTGTGTTATCTGCATAACTTCACAACCCCACCGATCCTACATAAGGATTTAAAACCGAGTAATGTCTTACTCGATCAAGATATGACCCCGAAGATCTCAGACTTCGGGCTCGCTCAGATGCTAGAAAATGGCATGACAGAAGCGGAAATGGACAGACCGGCCGGAACTTAGTAAGCACAACTTATAGTTTTAATTTGTCTTTAACCAAAGAATTTAATTAAAACGCTCAACAGTTTCGATCCATCTTATCTAATATATAGTAGTATTGTTTTCATTTGCGCAGTGGTTACATGTCGGAGGAGTACGCGGTTCATCGTATGATGTCGGAAAAGTCCGATGTGTTCAGTTATGGTGTCATGCTCTTGGAGATTATTACCGGAACAAGAAACATAGATTATTGCCTTCGACACCCGGGTGATAGTCTCCTGGACTATGTAAACTCTCTTAAACCTTAGATATCTTCAAACTAATATATATTTAAAGATTATTTTTAATTTTTAATCTTTGTTATTTGTTTTCTTGTTTTTAAACAGGTTTGGAGTCAGTGGACCGACGGAAAGGGTCTTGAAGTTGTTGATTCCACATACGTTGATGACTCGCTTGTTGGGAACGAGGTGTTGAGGTCGATACATGTCGCTCTACTTTGTGTGCAAGAGCAAGTGGACAGCCGACCAAATACAAGGTCGGTTGTCTTAATGCTCCAAAGCACACAATCGGAAATCACCAGACCAAGTAAACCGGATTACTATTATGCGCGAATCCTCCGTGGTGAGGCTGCTTCTTCATCTTCGACAGCCGTCAGACAATCCAGTACTACGAACTACGCTACCATATCACAACCGGAGGCTCGGTGATGTGTTATTATATATATTGTCGCTACTCTGCTTTTCTTAATTAAGACACTGCTTTTTTTTTGGTTTATGCGTTTTGTGCTTCGATCAGGTTCTATTGGACGAATGGTTTTACTTTCTTTTGGTATGTATTTAGTGAAATGGGACCTTAATATCGATATTATGAGACGAACCTTGCTATGCTAATCCTGCTGTTGGTCTCTTTCGAATGCCATGTTCCTTCAATTTTAGCTTATCGAGACAAGGTTTTCTTGCGGATGCATTAGTCTTTACAAGAAGATTGTTACGTTTAAGAAACATTTACATTGGCCATCCTCTTTCGTAAGTCCAACCTCGAAATTAATCGTAAGTCAGATTGAATTGTTGCTGCATACAAATTAATGAGGAGGAATTGATAGGAATCACGCTCATGATGATTCATCAGATGAATTATTCACAGATTTAACGGCCAAAAACTGTACATTTTAGTATTTGAATGATTTTTACAAAACTAAATGTTACTATTTACTGTTTACAGGTTTTTTACCCCAAACAGATGTTGTATTAAGTTATTAACCATGAGAGACAAGTCGGAAGATAAAAGATGGCTAGGAAGAGACGGTAATAACAATATTTCTAAAGAGTTGTATGGATTAGAAGGAACTCCAAACTATGGGAAGATTTAAAGAGATTCATTTATAGTTTTCAAAAAACAATAACAGTCACCCCCTTGTTAAGCTGCCAAGAGCCATACGAGTAAATCTGATAGCCATTGAAACTATAGAAGAGAAAAATCTCACCTTTTCCACCTATTCTCGACAGACTTATCTGCCTTTTTTTTGGAAAAAAAAATGATCAAATTTTCTTTAAACCAGAACATCGTAAAAAAAAAAAAGCTACTTTTCCTTCTCTTTTTTATTAAAAATGATTGTGTCACTTTCCTTTCACCTTCTTCTCTATTGCTTGCTTAAGTTTCTGATGACATATGGAAGAATACCTCCATGGTTGAAGTACGCCAATTCCACCTGCACATTTTTTTAACCATTATTACTTCACACTGCAAAAAAAATAAAATAATGCCTTCTTCTCCACCACCTAAACAACTCGACTATTTTTACTTACCTCAGTGTCAAATCGGACTGTGCAAGTGAAAGACTTTCCGTTATCGGTTGTGACGGTAACATCTTGTCCAGGTCTTATCTCCGAGATATCGGTTGGGAGATTGATCGTGTAGCGTTCGTGACCCGTTAATCCAAGTGTGTCTGCATCTTCACCGGACTTAAAGCACAACGGGATGATTCCCATTCCCACCAAGTTGCTTCGATGAATCCTCTCGAAACTCTTTGCAATCACAGCTTTCACTCCCTGAAAAAAATCGAAAAATGTGTTCTCGTCTCAGCAAATTGTAAAATCAAAGACGAGCTTTCGCAGAAAATTCTAAATATACACACCTGTAGCATCGGTCCCTTAGCAGCCCAATCACGCGAGCTACCACTTCCGTACTCAGCTCCAGCTAGAATAATCGTGTCTTCACCAGATGACTTGTACTTCTGATATGGATAAGGAGGCGGGCATTAGACAAGATGAACGTACAGTCAGTAGTAATGCAAATTTTTTTGATTAGATAGAACAAACAAACCATGGCTGCGTCAAAGACTGAGAGCTTCTCTCCAGAAGGAATGTGAACAGTCTTGGGACCAACTTCACCGTTCATGAGCTTGTTGACGATACGGATGTTAGCGAAAGTGCCTCTAGCCATTATTTCGTCGTTCCCACGGCGACTCCCGTACGAGTTGAAGTCCTTGCGATCAACGCCACGCTCGAGGAGAAATTTTGCAGCGGGGCTGTCCTTTTGGATGTTCCCAGCTGGAGAGATGTGGTCGGTGGTGATACTGTCCCCGAAGTTGAGCAAACAGTAAGCGTCTTTCACGCTGTGTGGACCTGGAGGATCCATGGTCATGTCCTTGAAGTACGGAGGCTCGTGAATGTATGTTGAGTTTGGGTCCCATGAGTAGAGGGTGTTTTCGGGAACAGACAGTGCGTTCCACATGGGGTTACCCTTGGTGATCGACTCGTATGTTTTACGGAACATGTCAGGCAAGACACTCGATTGAACAACCTGATCCAAAAGACTTTGTTTAATATTTTTGTCGCAACAGGAAGATTTTGTTGTTCTCTGATTGTATATATACCTCAGCGATTTCTTCCGTGGTTGGCCAGATATCCCTTAGGAAGACTTCCTTGCCGTTCTTTCCAGTGCCGATAGGCTCCGTTTCGAAGTCAATGTTAACCTGGGAAATAAGAATTACCACTATGATGATGAGTCACGTGTATTTATCAGGTAAAGAAATGTATGATGAAACTTTGAATAGTTCCCACGATTTATTACCGTTCCAGCAAGAGCGTAGGCAACCACCAGAGGAGGAGATGCAAGGTAATTGGCTCTTGTTAGTGGATGAACACGACCCTCAAAGTTCCTGTTCCCAGAAAGCACAGCAGCCGCCACAATGTCTAACAATAAGCATCACAAATTAGCCACATATTACTGTAAAGGCATGAAGTCCAAAAGTAAATATAATTTTGAATCTCAGTAATACCATTTTCTGTGATAGCAGCGCCCACTGATTCATTAATTTCTCCAGAATTACCAATGCATGTGGTGCATCCATAGCCGACAATATTGAAACCCTGCTCGTTCAGATATTCTTGCAGTCCACTGCATAGAGTGTAATGTAAACTTAACTTTCTGCTGCAAAAGCAAGAATCAACTTTTAACAACAAAGAACTTGAAAACGCGACATACCTTTGTAATAAGTATTTTGTAACAACTCCTGAGCCTGGCGCAAGACTTGTCTTTATCCAAGGCTTAACCTAGAGAGGCAGTTTTCGAAAAGAAATTAGAAGAAGTTCAGGCGTCAGATAGATTTCTGGTTTGATCAAGTGGAACAAACCTGTAGGCCAAGGTCACAAGCCTTTTTCGCAACAAGACCAGCACCAAGCATGACGCTGGGGTTTGATGTATTAGTACAACTTGTGATCGCAGCAATCACCACACTTCCATGTTTAATCTCTGCTGGTTGTCCATCGAACGAAAACTTTGCCACTTTTTCTTGTGCCTCTTTAGGTATCGCAAAACCCTGCAGAGAATGTAAAGCACAATTTGATTAACAGTGGCATCAAAATGTGCACCCACAGCCAGTACATAGACTAAGCAGATGCTGGACAAATTAAACCTCTACAAAACGAAGCTTCTAATTACATACCTTGAACCCGACTTTACTGTCGAGACATGAACGCCAGTCAGCTTTCATATCCTTCAAAGGAACACGATCATGTGGCCTGCAAAGAAGATATCAATAATTTGGTCATGATCATTTTATCTGACAATAAACTCGGTATATTTTACAGAGCCCATACCGTTTTGGTCCAGAAATGCAAGGTTCAACATTATCCAGGTTCAGTTCAAGGTATGATGAGTAAACCCGGTCTTGCTGGGGCTGAATTCATTCACATAGCAAAAGAAGTCAAATAAAAACCTGAAAAATATTGAAAAACAAAAAATTCCAAACATGTAAAAGGATAAGGCTGATTTACCTCATTATAGTCAACAAACATATTGTTTGCCCGAAGATATGCTTCAATCATGGCCACCTGCCATGAACCTATTATATCAGCCCAGATATATGAATATACGTAGAAGGAAGATTAAAGCCAAACACTCACCGTCTCATCGCTTCTTCCAGTCAATTTGAGATACTGTAGAGTAACATGATCCACAGGGAAGAATCCCATGGTTGCACCATACTCAGGAGACATATTGGCAATAGTGGCCCTGTCAGCTAGGGACAGCCCACTCATACCATCACCTAAGAGAAAAAAAAAAAAGACTTTAAAATACTCCAAAGAATACATATCCATAAAAGAAGGTGTAAAACACTTAAGAGTTCAGAAAGAAATAGATTACCATAAAATTCAACAAACTTTCCAACAACACCATGCTTTCTCAGTATTTGAGTCACTGTTAGAACCAAATCAGTAGCTGTTACACCATTACGCATTTTCCCAGACAGCTTGAATCCAACAACACCAGGCAATACCATACTCATGGGCTGTCAAAGAAGAAAGATTATCGGTATAAGTCAGGTTGAAAAAACACAAACATCACTAAATCGGAGAAGACGAGTCAAAGAGATATACCTGGCCAAGCATTGTCGCCTCAGCTTCAATGCCTCCGACTCCCCATCCAGCAACTCCCAACCCATCAATCATAGTTGTATGTGAATCAGTTCCAACCACACTGTCTGGGTAGAGAACGCCTTTGGTATTGAACACAACTCTTCCAAGATATTCCAAATTGACCTGAATTATCAAAAATGGGGCTGAACTGAGACCAAACCAACACATAATATCCCAAGAAAAACTTCAAAATGAACAAAGGAAGATAATTAAGTGAAAGCAACATTTCAATACACTAGCAACATGGGATTGAAAAGGATATATGGACTTGCACACTGCAAAAGAAATTACCTGATGCACAATACCAGAGCCAGGAGGCACAACAAGCATGTTCTGGAACGCGGTAGAACCCCATTTAAGGAAAGCAAACCTCTCCTTGTTCCTCTGGAATTCAAGCTCCATGTTTGCTTGCACTGCATTCTCAGATCGAGCAACATCAACTTGAACAGAGTGGTCAATCACAAGATCCACCGGAACCTGGGAGAAATGGTCTACGTAAGAAATCCAGAACTCTAGACTTCACAGATCTGTACAGAAATAAAAATGTACCAAGGGGTTGATTTTGTTGGAATCACTGCCCAGCTTGTTCATAGCATCACGCATACAAGCAAGATCAACAACAGCTGGTACTCCGGTAAAGTCCTGCCAAAAAAAAAAAAAAAAAAAGGTTAAAAACACGAAAACAATAAAATAAAATAATTCTATAGCTTGACACCAAATGATTACCTGAAGAAGAACACGAGCAGGTTTAAACGGAATCTCGACTTGTTTAGGAGCTGTTTTTTCCCAGTCAATAATCTTCTCAACATCTCCCTTGGTCACTTGGAAGTTGTCACAATTACGAATCGCAGATTCGAGAAGAATCCTGATAGAGTAAGGAAGTTTATCTGCAACAAAACGATAAATGGAATCAGAGCGCTTCTCTTGTAACTTATCCCTCGAGTGACACAATCAAATGGTTCAAAGAGATATTTTACCAATCCTTGGATCATTTAGAGCAGGTAAGCTGTAGAACTTTCCAAACTCTCCACCACCAGGCTTAGGAAGAGTAGTGAAGATCCCCTTAAACGGATGCTCTGAAGCTGAAACCAATACAAAAACCAACGAAATGATAATCAAAATCAAAGATATCACAACGCGATGACCTCAGCAGCTTAAGATCAAGAAATCCAAGCTAGATCGGATCATTTCCGAGATAGAGAGGGAGAGAGAGATATTAAATTACCCATGGAAGAGAAGTTTTTCTGGAGACGGTCTAAAATGGGAGAAACGGCTCTGATCTGAGAGCTCAAGCGAAACGAAGATGGTCTAGAGTGAAGGCAGTGGCTCCAGCGAGGAAGTGAGCGGAAAGCGGGTGAGGAAGTGGCGAAAGACCTTCGACCGAGAAGAGACGGCGAAGGAGATGCGGCGGAGGAGGACGGCGTTAAAGACGATCTGAAGGAGGAGAGTGGAGAGCGAGAAGAAGCAGCTCGGAAGATGGAGGAAGAAGCGGAGGAAGATACGGTTTTATACATGGCGAAAAATAATCAATCACGCTTTCAGATGCAGAAGATAAGGATAATGATTATGGGAAGGATTGGTGATGATGATGGTGATGAATCAGACGGAATCGATCATGGAGGCGAAATCTGACGATTGAAAGAGGAGAGAGGCGTGTGGAGACGAAAATGAAGCCTAGGGCTGAGTGCCACAAAGTCGCAATTATAAGACCAGAGGGAATATTTTTTCAATCTCGTTATGGGCCCCCGTTTAAACAAATTATAAATTTACAAATTACAATAGGGAAGAGGAGATTAGAAATTAGAATTCACATTTTGCAAGTTGTAATTTTTGTCAAGTTTAGAAATGTTTCAAATGTTTTATACTCGCGAGTTGAAATATGACACACATGCATATATAAATATATAATTACCTTAATCTAGTTGAAGTCGATCGAACAAACAAATGTATAAAAATATTCGGTGAGGACAAATCACTCTAAGAATTGCTGAAATCTGCCATTAGTCATATTGTACGTCCATACGCCACACCAGTTGGCTAAGTGATCAATGTTTATATACCTCGATCCAAAATAAATAGTTACCATGGATAGATACAGTTTAGGATTAATCGCGTGATAGATGGTTGGTTAATAATTGTCAAAATAATTAGTCGCAGTCGCTAGCGATTACCAAACGAACAGGGCATAGTCTACGATGAATAGTCGTATGTATATATGTGTATTACAGTTTTCATAGGTCCGAAACGATTTAGATTTTACTAATGAAGGATCGAGATTAGGTTCAAAAATAGTGATGGATAAGAGGAATAAAGTAGACTAATAAGAGAAATTGTCATGAGTGGAAAATAAATATGCTCTTCAATAATGATACAACTTTTTAAAGTTTTAAGTAGCATAGGTACACTCCTTTAGTTGTGTGTTTCTGTTTGCATAAGTTTAAAAATGATGAGAATAATTTCTCATTCAACAAAACCAAAGTCTTGCATAGTTTTGTCTCAATGTTTACTCTCTAGACTCATTCTCTCGAATCTCTCTAGAACTCTCTCCCAAAATCTCTTCCTCCACCGTGAAACACCACCACCTTTTCCATTTTGCTATTTTCTCGTTTCAAAACATTTGTCTGAATTCACGGCTTCTCCAATATGTTCTCTTCTCTCTCTTCTCCAATCATCATCACCTTTTTTACTTGCAGCGAAAGAGGAGAGGTCACCCAAGAATATCACGAACTGTTGTGATCTCTCAGTTTCCAAATTTTCATGCATAGCTTTTCAAAACGTTTTACACCTTGAATCTTCAATGTGCACACTCTCTTTGGCTGAGTTTATAGATTTGTAATATCCCAAGTTCAATTTCTTAATCCAGAAGACTGATTTGGTTGAATTTAATTTGTAATGTAATTTTTATTGGTTTTGGTTTAAGCCAAATTGAGTTTGAGTTCGAGTTCAAATTAGTCTCGATTTAAACCGAATCGATTTATGAGGATGGTTTAGAGTCGGTTTAATGTATAAGGATATTTTTTGCAAGTAAACCCTTTATAAATATTCCAACTAATTAAATATCTGGTTCGATATCCCAATTCGACGTTAACAAACCCTTCTGCTTCCTAAATTCGTCCTTCCATTCTCTCGAAACTCCTGGAATTATGGCGATCAGCTCATTCAAGCAAGAACATCCTCTCGGTTCGTTTCGTTTCCCTCCTTTTCCACGTCCCTCACCTTTCGATTGAAACCCTAATTGACCAATCTTCATATCTCATCGCTGGGTTTTTAGCGAGTTGGCTCAAATTCCAAAATCTGGTTTGTTATATTGTTTAGAAACTTGTCAATTCGAGGTTTCTGATTTCGTCAATCTCAATTGCTTTGCGTTTACATTGATTCAGCTTAATACTGATTCTCCTCTTTTTTATTTTATTTGTTTTTTATTGCGTACCAGTTTAGAAACCTTCAAGATGATTAGTTTCCCTTGATTTTACACAAACTTGATTGTATGCAGCAAATGCATTATGATATATGTTGAAGACGAGAAGAATATTGATATGTACACATAATCTTGATTGAGAACATGTTCTGTTTTCGTTTTGGCTTTTTGCTAATGATCCAAATACATTATATCAATGAGTTTACAATTAATGGATCTTGTTTCTTGTATGTTACAGAGAAGAGACAAGCTGAAGCTTCTCGTATAAGGGAGAAGTATCCAGATAGAATCCCGGTATGAGTATTATTCACTTTCTTCCTTTCAAGAAAAAATGCATTCACACCTTTTTCCTTATTCGGTTTTAAAATTTTGCAGGTCATAGTCGAAAGAGCCGAGAAGAGTGATGTCCCTGATATTGACAAGAAGAAGTAAGTGTAGCTCTGGCTTTCATTGTTCATAGTTGCTTAGTGATGTGTGTATATATATATAGTAAGTTCCTTATAGGTTCTTGGACAAACTTTCAGGTACTTGGTCCCAGCTGATCTGACTGTTGGCCAGTTTGTTTACGTTGTTCGGAAGCGGATCAAGCTCAGTCCCGAGAAAGCCATTTTCATTTTCGTCAAGAACATTCTACCACCAACTGGTTAGATACATATGTGTTCCCTACTAATATCATCTTCTTTTGTCTCAGTTTAAGTAATGAACACATCGGGAATCATTCGTGTTAATCTTTTTGTTGCAGCGGCGATTATGTCTGCGATTTACGAGGAGCACAAAGACGAAGACGGGTTTCTATACATGAGCTACAGTGGGGAGAACACGTTTGGGATCTTCTAATGCGCTTGGAGTTGGAGCATGCCATATCTGAATGTGGATGCTTCACATTTCGATTGTACATTCTGTCTTTTTTCTATGCATACTGTTGTCTCTAGGTTTTATGTCATTGGACGAAGCTTTGAAACTTGCTTATATCTTGTGTTGTGAACATAAACATCTCTTCAAGTATCATCTGCTTTAATGCTACGCTTAATCTTCATTCGTAAACCTTACAAGCCAATATATTTCAATATCAGTTACTGTCAAGTGGCTATTATTTGCATACAGTTATAAAGATATACAAAAACAATGACTTCAACTTTACTGCTGTAGCAAGTTTACAGAAGCCACTTGAATTGATGTGGAGACTATGTTTCTCTGGATGGAAGTTTATTTGTTGATGACTCTTGGCTGCTGTTTTGATTGAGAGATTAATCTCTCTGTTTTCTCTCTTATAATGTTTTCATTATTAATCTTATAATAATGCCTTGTTGGAAATGAAACATCTCACGATTCTCACCACCCATTTATCTATTCTTGTTGAGTTATGACCTTTAATTATATTAAAGTAAGTTCTTGTTTTGTTGGAAACTAGAAAGCTTCAAGCCTTAATATGTTTTAGGATTTACATAGTTATTAAAAAACAATTATTGTCTCTACTTATAATACATTTACTTTTGTTTCTTTTTGATATAGTACTCAAAAGATTAATTTTTAGCACATAAAAATTCTCTTTCCAATGTAAGTTATTGCTTTTAGAAGTTTAAATATATTTTATACCGTCTAAAACATTTTATATTATGAAACAAAGAAAAAACTTAAAACATTTTATATTTTGGACAGAGAGTATTTAATTAAAAATTTAAGGTAACAAATACTTTCTTTATAATAGTCTAAGATTACATATATAACTAGATTATTACTTATTAGTAGTGAATTTGAAATATGAATTTATTATATATTAAATATAATTGGATTCATTGTAAAAGTACACAACTATAATTAGAGTGTTTTTCAAAAATATTAACAGAAGTTATGTTTCAAAGATATTGTAAGTGATTAGGTATATACCATTTAGAAGAATAAAAACGCATGGACCAAAAACATGATTGTGGTAAATACAATTTTAGCAAAAAAACGTAATGGAATAATCTTGTAATTATTAAAAAGTAAATACAAAGCGCTATAAAATTAATTTTAATTAAATTCATCTAAAAATGTGTAAATTTAGAAAATAATAAAGTATGCAAATATTTAAAAATATATCCACAAAACTAACTAAATTTTTACAGATTTGTTTGCACAAATTAATACTATTAAAAAAGATAAGGACAATGAACATTAATTTGGTCGACACTATATATAAACAAATGTGCTGAGTCCTAAACATATGTGTTGTGTCCTAGTCTCCAAACTCACATATTTCATTTTCTGAAAGCCTTCTTAGTCATATCTCTAAAACAGTAAAAATTTTAATTAAAATGGATCGAAATTTGACAATAGTAAAAAGGTTATCAAGCACTGATGTTTCTAGTAAAGTATGTCGTTTACCAAAAGAGAATGCAGAGCATATACTAAAGAAGATGGGTCTTCCAATGCCACCAAATGGTATTCTAGTAGACATTCAGGATAACAATAAATCCTATCGGGTAAACTTTAATCAAAATGGTACTGGTTATTATATTGGAGTTGGATGGAACAACTTTAGAACTGCAAAAGACCTTAAAAAAGGCGACTACATCCAATTACACTGGAAAGATACCAAATTCATTTTCTCTATGTTGTGAGTTTTTCTTGGTTTCTTTTTAAATTTTTGGTTACATTAATTATTCATTTTCTTTATAGTTTAATCTAACCATTTTTTATTTATTTTTGATTGAATGCTATAACTAAAACAGTAGCATGTTAGTCTTTATTATGATATAATTATGGATATATTAATAGATATGACTATAATATGCATGATCTTATAAGCCTTATGGTATAGTTATAACTTATAAAAGACGTACAAAATATTATATGTAGAAAACTGATTATGTAAAATACATGATAATATTTGTATTTAATATTCCAGTGATGAAAATGAATCTTTGGAAGAAAATAGTTCAAATACAATTTCTACTGAAGAAAGTAGTTCAAGTACAATTTCTACTAGGAAAAAGAAGAAAACAGAAGAAAGCACTTCAGGTACAAAGAAGAAAACAGAAGAAAGCACTTTGGGTACAAAGAAGAAAACAGAAGAAATCACTTCAGGTACAAAGAAGAAAACAGAAGAAAGCAATTCGGGTACAGTTCCTGCAGGAAAAAAGAAGAAAACAAAAGATACAAAATAAATGGTGAAGGATTGATAAGAAAATGTTGAATAGGTAATATAATAAGTGTGGTATAATATTATAAAATAAATATTTTAATTGACTGAAATCTTTATTTGTAAATAAATATTTATTAATCTGTGTATATAATCAATAAAGTATTTAAATAAATTACTTAGAAAATCTATAAAGAAAGCGCTTTATCTAAAGAAATAATACTATTAAGAAAAATATAGAATCAATGAACATTAATTTTGGTCGACAACTATATATATAAACATATGTGATGAGTTCTAGTCTCCAAACTCCTCAAATATTTCATTTTCGAAAATCAGTTTTATATAAATACTAGGGGTGACCCGCGCTTCGCGCGGGAATTGAAATTGTTGTGTTGATTTTATTATTTTTCATAAATTTAATTTAATTCTATGATTTATTATTATTTTAAAAATGTCATACACATATTAATCAAATATAATTAGGGTTACTCAAAAATTTCCGAAAATTAAATATAATTAAGTTTACGCAAAAATTTTGAACCATCATTTCTCATTCCTCCCATTTTGTTCCTTTTATCATGTCCGTTCTTTCCCGTCCCATTCGCCATGTCCGTATCGTCACGTGCAATCCCATCATGTCTGAGACTGTTCCATCCCGTTTTGTCCAGTCTCATCCCGTTCTTTCCGTTTTTTTCCGTCATGTCCCTAAATATAATTAGGGATATGCTAAATTCACTTTTTTCCGTTCCATTATGTTTCTTTTCATCCCGTCCTTTCCGTCATATCCATCCCGTCTAGTCCCATCCTGTCTCATTATGTTTTTTCCTGTCTTGTCTTGTCCCATCTTGGTCTTTTTGTTTCTTCTTGTCCCGTCTCTAAATATAATAAGAGGTAGGCAAAATTTACCTCCTATCCCGTTCTATTTCCCATCTCGTTCCTCCCTGTCCTATTTCCCTCCCCGTTCCTCCTCGTTCTGTTTTTTCCCGTCTCGTATTGCCCCATCCCTTTCTTCCCGTCTCGTTCTGCCTTGTCGGGTATAATTTTGGCCTCGTTATGTCCCGTCCTGTTTATTCCTTCTCGTTTCCGCCTTGTCCCATTTTGCACCGTCTCATTCATTCTCATCTCATTTTTCCTCATCATGTACATTTCCTTTCCGTCTCGTTCCTCCCCGTCCTATTCATTCACATACCGTTTTGCCTTGTCTCGTTCATTTCTTTCCATTCTGCCTTATCTTGTTTCTTCATGTCTTGTTCCACCATGTCCCTTTCTTTTCTATCCCGTTTTGCCTCGTCAAATTCATTTTCGACTCGTCTTGTTTCTTCCCGTCTCGTTATCATACAGTTTTGCGTCATTCCGTTCATTTTTTTTATTATTATTATTATTGTTAAATTATTAAAATCTATTTGATAAAACTAAAATTATTAAATTAGAATTTATTTAGATCAATATATAAAATATTTTCTTATACAAAATGACTTTTCAAATTCTATTATGATTAAGTGATAGATGTAATAAATTATTAGTCTTAAAAGAGAATTGGAAGAGCATTGTTTAAAAGAGAGTTTGCTGACGTGGCGCTCCCAGAAGAGACCCCAACTGTGTTTTATACTTTTATATATATAGATATCCGGTACTTCGGTTTAATTTTGTATAGTTTTGGATTCGATTACAAAAATGTGATAATTTAAGACCAATTGGATAACATGTTCAATCCATATTGACTTGTATTGCCATCCTTGACATGATTGTTCACGACATAGGTGTTCCGCATTGTGACTACAAATTTTGCGTTTCGTGTCCACCTTTGTCGTGCGAGAGAGTATTGGAGATATCTTTATGAGCAAGACGAATCAAGTATTGTGGGTCATTGAAGCCCGTTTATGAAGTGAAGCTCATAAAGCCAAACCAAATAATATTCTACAAAAATCCTATTATAATAAGGATTAGGAAAATTTACATTATTTGGTGTTATCATTATGTTAATGTTAAACACTATATATATGTGTTTTTGTGCTCTTGTATCCAACTAACACAACTCGATAATATATTTCTCCTCTATAATATTTATCATCAAAAGACGAGAAGAGAAAAGAAACCGTCTCTAAGAATGGGTCACACTGCATCAGAGGCCTCAGATTCTCCGGTGCGGCACAGGCAAAGTCGTAGTTCTAGGTCTCCTTCACCACGGACAAAGAGACTGAGAAGAGCTCAAGGTGAGAGAGAGGTTGGACGAAGTAGAGAGAGAGAAGATGAGAAGCGTGACGGTAGAGGAAGGGAGAAGAGCAACAACAGCAGGGAAGTAGAAAGGGAAAGAGATGGAGCAGCTGAAGAAGCCCTGGCAGCAAAGAAAAAGGTAGAACCATCTTTTGAGCTATCGGGGAAACTTGCAGAAGAAAGCAACAGATACAGAGGTATCACACTCCTCTTCAATGAGCCACGAGAGGCTAGAAAACCCAACCAAAGATGGAGACTTTATGTTTTCAAAGATGGTGAACCACTGAATGAGCCACTTCCCATCCACCGCCAAAGTTGCTATGTCTTTGGACGTGAGACAAGGATCGCTGACATTCCAACTGATCATCCGTCTTGCAGCAAGCAGCATGCTCTTCTTCAGTACAGAGAAATGGAAATAGAGAAACCAGATGGTATGATGGGGAAGCAAGTGAGGCCTTACCTTATGGATCTTGGGAGCACCAATAAAACTTACGTAAATGAAAAGCCTATTGAACCACAACGTTACTATGAGCTTCTTGAGAAAGACACCATAAAATTTGGCAACAGCAGCCGAGAGTACGTCCTATTGCACGAGAATTCTGCCCAGTGAATTAAAGCGGAGCCAAGCAGCAAGCAGCAGCCAGCAGCAATGTGCTGGTGACCATCTCTGACATTTTGTTAATAACATTTAGAAAGCTTTTGCTTCCTTAAAAGATAAAAAAAATATATAGAATCACTGTGAACATAAATTTTGGTCGACAACTATATATATATATATATATATATTAATATATATATATATATATATATATAAACATATGTGATGAGTTATAGTCTCCAAACTCCTCAAATATTTCATTTTCGAAAATCAGTTTTATATAAATACTAGATTAAGACCCGCGTATACGCGGGTTTATTTTAAGATTTTGTAATAAAATCATGGAAAAGTATTAAACCAAATTTGATCATTTTAAAGTAAACAGAATAATATTAAAAACCCGATAAAAATATTTAAATAAAATAAGATCGGTAACCTTTTTACGTTTTTATTGTAATTGTAATTTTTTTGAATTCATGATATAAAAATGAATTAATTTGTTTTATTTTTATTTTTATCCAATATAGAAAGACTTATATATGTCTAAATATGATCAACTGATTAATTAATTCAACAAAACTTTATTATTCCATTCAAGAGATTTCAATTGATGAAATCTTTATTTAATTTTTTTTACCTATTGATATTGAAAATATATCAAAAAAATTGCAGATACATTATACCAAAACTGCTTATAATATGGGACAGAAGGAGTATTAAACTATTTAAAATTAGAATATCGGTTCATTATATTTTCTTAATATTAGTTAGTTGCTTGATAATTAATTTGTTAGTTTTCTATTTATATTGTTTCTTTCTCAATTTTGTTTTTGACTCAGAACATTATAAATTTTCATTTTCATTATTAGTTAGTTTTTTATTATCATTATTTTATTACACATATCGCAATTTTGTGAGTTATAAAAATCATACGTATTGCTATCATGTTGTTTGCTTTGATGAGTTTGTGAATGAGAAAAAAAAGACTACAGTAAAACCTCTATAAAATAATAATGTTGGGACTTTGAGAATTTATTATCTTATCGAGTTATTGTTTTATCGATAAAATAATAATTATTATTTTATAAAAATATTCTATAAAAAAAACAAGAAACTTTATAGAAATATATGTAAGTAGGTACACGTAAGGAATCAATTGTGGCTTCGAAAACTCTTCACAACTTTTGACCCCATAAACTGTTGATGCAATAAGAAAAATTCAAGATGAGCTCCAACGAGAATCCAACTTTCATAAAAGACAAACTACATTGGAGTCATATTTTACTAAACTGCCTTAGATATATATGTCTTGGTTTTATAATTATTATCTTAGCCTATTGTTGGGACTATATTTTTACATAGGAGTTTCAAAAATATTATTGTCTTATCATCTTATCGCATTATGCTATTTTTTACATTGGCCCGAGTTGGGACCGGAGAAATTTATTATCTTATAGTGTTTATTGTTTTATCGAGTATTGTTTTATAGAGGTTCTACTGTACTTTAACTCTCTTTTTATAGGGGTTCATGTAACTTATTCCATGCAGTTATAGGAAATTTAGTTTACCTAACCTATTTCATGTACTAATAGGATTTTATTTATTTCATTAATTTGAATCTTATATGTGTTTGGATAATATAAATTTGATGAATGAGAAACCTTTTTCTATTAGGATATGACAAATATAATTTTTTTTTCTTTTAACTATAAAAGATTAACTAAACCTAACCTATTTCATGTACTAATAGGATTTTATTTATTTCATTAATTTGAATCTTATATGTGTTTGGATAATATAAATTTGATGAATGAGAAACCTTTTCTATTAGTATATGAAAAATATAATTTTTTTTTCTTTTAACAATTTCGTTTTTTTCCTTTATCTAATTTTTTTTAATTATTATTTTTTTCATTTTTTTTCTAAGACACATGTCACGATCTTAACGGACATAATATTAAAAGTGACACATGTCGTAATCTTAAATTTTATAAAAATCCTACGTGTCGCAACCACGTCGCGCGTATCCAGCTTTATATAATAAGATATCCGGTACTTCGGTTTAATTTTGTATATTTTTGGATTCGATTACAAAAATTGGATAATTTAATACAAAACTCTTTTTATTCATTCTGTGCGAATGTTGAATTATATATACAACTTTTGGTTCGAACCGAGAAATTTGGTTCGGTTAAGGAAATTTACCCACCGTACCAAATAAAATAAAGCGCGTAACACCAGAATCACATTTGTGGCTCTCCTTTCTCCATCCAAAACCACAACACAACCCAAACCTTGTCCACACCAAAATGTTCAACTCCAAAATCTAACCACACAAACACTCAATTTCTCTTTCTCTCCACCATTAGCAATCAAACCAGAGAGAGAGAGAGAGAGAGAGAAATCTCGAATCATATGGCTGCTGCTTCGCTTTCTGCAAATCAAGGCTTACTCGGAACTTCCTTCTACGGAGGTTGGGGAAACTCAATCTCCGGCGAGGACTACCACACCATGCTCGCCAAAGCTTCAGCGCCACCGCAACAAGCTCGAGTCTCAAGAAAACCCATCAGAGTACAACCGATGATGAAGAATGTCAACGAAGGCAAAGGCTTGTTCGCTCCACTCGTCGTTGTCACTCGTAACATAGTAGGCAAGAAGAGGTTTAATCAGCTTAGAGGCAAAGCCATTGCTTTACACTCTCAGGTTTGTCATCTTTCAAATTCATCATCATTCTCTGAATAAAGACTTTTGTTCCAAAGAAAGCAGAATCAGTTTGGTTTTTGGATTTTTTTCTTTCAGGTGATTACAGAGTTCTGTAAATCCATAGGAGCTGATGCGAAACAGAGACAAGGATTGATTAGGCTTGCTAAGAAGAATGGAGAGAGACTTGGCTTCCTCGCTTAAAGAAGAACTCTTTTTCTCTGCTCTTGTCTCTGTATACACTCCTCTCCTTGTTCTTGTCTTAGAATGTATTTTGTCCAATACCTATAATCTTTAAGAAACAGAAATTGCCATTCTCATCTCAAAATTGTGTGCAATCATCACTCTTGAAAACCAGATGAATCTGATAATATATATATATATATATATATATATATATAACAAACAAAGATACACAATCATGTAACATTGTCTTATAGCCTAATCATAATTCCGAAACAATGAAGGATTGAAAAAAAATTGAGTAAGCTTTCTTTTTGAGGTATCTTGAGCAAGAAAGGGATCTTCAAGATCAGGAGGAGAAGTACTGAGACGCATGAGCAAATCCCCATAGCTGCAAATTTTAACAACATGAATGTTCACTGATTACTTCTACAGTTCTAGATTCAAGTTAAAAAAATGCATATACTATGATGTATTAGCTTTACCTCGACGTTCTTTAACTCGAACTCTGAGCTGCTAGCTAAGCATTCGTTTCCAAATGTTTCCGAAGGTCCACTTGTTGCCTTCAACCTTGTTCAAGTTGAAACATTTTGGTTTGAGTATCATCATAACAGTTTAAAGGATAAATTTTTAAAACGAGACGGAGATAGATTGTGCCTTACAAATCTTCGTCTAAACATAGAGCAAAGTTTCCTCCACCTCCAAACGCTAAAAACTCATTCGTACACATCAAGTAATATCGGTTGGCACCTGCAGACACATTCATAAGAGAGGTCTCTTACTACACATACTCAAGGAGCTTGATTTATATGGATCACAATCTAAAAAAAAAACAGAATCTGCAAATTATCCTTAACAAGTTACTTAGCTCCTTCCATCATCTACTTATGTAACTCTATCTTTCACTAGATGGTTTATAGTTAACGATTCAACTACCAAAAACAAGTGTAGATCAAGTTGGTGACAAGAACCAGGGAAAATTCTGTTGAGAATCAGTTGGAACCAATATTCTTAAGATATGTTCTTGGAGAGACTTGAGAATTCTCCTCAAATTTCACTATATTCTTCCTCCTATGAATCAATACTCATATACGATTGCTTAAAAAGGACAAGGAGAAAAAGAGAGAGAGAGAGTCCAAAATGGTTACCGGTGGGTCTAAATATGCGTGGTTGACCATAAATAGTAGTGAACAAGAATGTCTGGCTTGTACCCTATCATCAAGAAAACATGTTCAAGAATCAGCAATATGGAAACCAATTAGGCCCTGGATGTTTCTTTGCGTTTGCGTTTCCATGTTATAATAAATGGAAATGAAATACAAACGCAAACACATCATTGCCTTAATGAGAGCAAATATCATTAACAAGTATTTTAGCCTGCCTGATATTTCCTCTTAGGAGTAGGTGTCAATGGACATTCAAGCAAAGCGCCAAAAACCGCACCTTGTTTGTCTCCAGCAACCTGCACGCACCAAACCCCAATCATCATCACAAACCTAAGATCTGTGCCACTTTTTTCAACATGTACCAAAGAGCATAGAGAAGCCAGCAAACAAACCAATAAACAAGGACCAGGAAGCTCTGCGCTTCTACGCAGAAGCGTACGAAGTGATATGCCATGTTTCAACGTACTGCCCTTCATCCGATTAAAAGTTAATTCCAATTCCAAGAACTCAAACAAATCTCCATTGAATACGAGATGATGCAATAAACTTTTCATTTTTTACCTATATAACAAGATCCATTTGCATCCTCTAACGATGTTCGGAAGACAAGCGTGCAAGAACTCACACAAGTTAGCAGAGATGAAAGCAGACTCTTCTGTTAACTCTGCCATCTGCTTCACACCTTCAAAGTAATCGTTACCGCTCTCTACCACTTTCGCAGAGACACGCAACGCGCCACCGTCTTTACCCGATTCCTTGTCTTCTTCGGCATTGGAGATCATTGTCCCATTCCCATGTTTGCAATTCTCAACAGACTCGTAGCTGTCTGTTCTAATGGGGAGAGGAGGAGGTAATGACTCAGAATCATCCTCTTTCTCATTCCCAGATTGAAGAACACCGAACGAGAAGTACGAAGAGAACGTTTTCCCTGAGCTTGACTTTAGCCTGGCCTACACATTCAAAAGCTTATATGTCACAGATCAAATTAAAGCCACGATCTTTTTTGGTTTTTGCCACAAAAGGATCAATTTTTTGAACAGACGAGATGCAAATCTAAGGACCCCATCTCAGGAGATGATCGAATTAAGAGAAGTAGAATCAATCGGTGGATGAAAAAACCTGAACAAGCTTCTATATTCCCTAATTCCAAACGACGAAATTCTGGGGGAGGGAACAAAAAGGAATTACCTTTGGAGAATCGGAGAGGGAAAAGCGAGGAGAAGCAGATTGGGAAGGTGAATCGGCGAAAAGGTTTGAAAGCTTCTGGGAGACCTTGTCCTTGAGAGCATGCATTGCGATCAGACGAATTCTATGGAAGATGGGGAATTGGGTGTAGATTCAGAGAAGAATGGTGTGAACAGAATGGTCGGTGGCGAGAAAAGGAAGAAAAAAAATGGTGAGACAGAGAGGGAGCCTGATTCGCCCGAGTCTCGGAGAAGGAGAGAATCTGCTAAATAGTTTTATCGACGACAGCTCTTAAAAAACAAAAAGACTAAAGTCAAAATTAATTAAATCAAAACAGGCAAAATAATTAAAGCAAAATTAAAACGCTGATGTATGAATTAAAACAAAAGATAATAATTCAAAAGACTCTCAATTAAAAAGCTACTTTATAAAAAATAGATATTATAATCACAAAATAGACCAATGTTTTTTTTTTCAGTTAATATTTATTAGTGATTTTATTTTATATTTAAAAGATCTTTAAACTAAAATTCTCTTGATAAATGTTATCTTCATCACTAAGACATACATATGTAACATTAAAAATTCTCTTAATCTAAACTTATTTTCTACAAAAAAAATTCTTAATGGAAATCATCATTTTCATCTATACTAAGGAAATAAAGAAATAAATATAAGTATTATACACATAATCTTTTATAGATGTTTACTATGAATTATGGTGAACTTATAATTTTTCTTTTTTTTTCATAATGATATAGTTTTGATTTTGTTTTACAAATTATAGAATTTATTTATATTGTTTATATCCAACAATCAATATTTTATCATCTTATATATAAAGCATAAGTTAGATAATGTGTAATAATTAATAACTGTATGTGAAGTTTCCAATATCCCAAAAAGTAATGTCTCTAATGAGAACATTTTATTATTAATATAAAAACTATTTTGTATGATGCTTTTAAAATTATCTTATTTTAATATTTATACCAAATTAACCATGTGATTTGGAGTCTCTTATTTTTAACAAAAAAATCTCACAAAATACTCTAAAGTGAAATTTATCTTGTAAAATCCACTTTTAAAAATATTTCCAATAAAATTGGATTTGAAAGTGGATTTTAAAATCACAAGTTCAATAACACTAGATTTTATAAGGGTTTTCTGAATTCAAGTTTGAATAACATTGGATTTGTCATTTTAATACAAATAACCCTAAATTACTCCAAATCCCAATTTCAATACACCCTATATATATATATATATATATATAAATGACACTGAATATTTTTGTATTTCCAAAAGATAAGATATTGGAGGAAAACTTACACATGCATATACAAAATCAAAGAAAAATGCACTAAATATCTCTTACTAAAATAGTCATAACCATACGCGATTTATAGATACAAGGAACATCACAATTATAATCATAACTTAAAACATGAATTGTATAAACACTAAAATAATGAGTGGAACCAAGCAAATATTGTGTATGTACTTAATAGTGATGGTAGCGATGATGCTATCGATTTTTCAGAGTACAAAAGGTAATAAAGATCTTGCGCTTGCCCCAATGTCCGAAGAAGGGTTCATGCCAAATCCGTTTAAGTGTGTGAAAGTCGCAAGAAAAATTCCAAAATGTATCAAAGCAGTAACAGACTTCCAGTACAAAAACATCACTAAGGAATGTTGTATCATTCTACTGGATGTTCCAGAAAATTGTTTTGGGATTTTATTTCCTATACGTTTTAATTATCGTATTATGGTTCAAACTACATGTAAACTAATGGGGATAGTCCGCTAATTACATGTTATTAATCATTTTTCATTTTCTTTTATATGTAATTGTATAATTCGTAATATTTATATTTGTAACAAGAATTATGATTCATAAACCATCAGCTAAATGATTATGTTATTATAACAAGAAAAAAATACTTTGAATATTGATTTAATTAGCCATTTTTTATCTATTTATTTTTTTCTACTTATATTCAATCAGGATATCAGTTTTATCATGGATTAATTTTTTTCTACTGACTATCGGGTAAAATTGGTTTTAATCGGTTTGAATAGTTTTAGTTTTTAGTTGGTTAGGTTTGGATATTTTCGGTTTCAGTATTTTTTGTTTTTAGTTTTAACCCAGAACATAAATCTTTGGTTTTATTTTATATTCTTATGTAGGTTTTCTATTTTTTTTGTAATCAATAAAAAATTTCAACTGATTAAATTCAAAAGTTTCAAGATAAAGCCAAAGAAACTTTCAGCATAAAAAAAAAAAACACTTGTACCAGCTTAAAATGAAAACTTTCAAGATAAAGCCAAAGAAAAACAAATCAGAAATTTAGAAGCAAAGTTTGGCCATCAAAATCCACATCTCAAGAAAAGTAGAAAATTTCAAAGATTTTAAAAAGAAAGATTGAATGGAGAGTAATTCAAAGAAGGTAAAGAAATCAAATAAAAGGAAACAAAAAAAAAACAAAAGTTGTTAAAACTTAAAACCATGAGAGAGACTTTAGGAATTATTTTCTTTATTTTATTTCTCATGGCCAAAAAGCCTTTATACATATACCAATCATTAAAATTACATAGCTAGAAAATAAAATGTGCCTAATTTGAGATATATCGATGTATTATTTTGTAACGAATACATTAAGAGATACATATCACTCTGAAGCAATAATAAGCTTACAGAGGTTGAGGATCGACAACACTCTCATAATTTTACTAGTTTGTTTTATTTTATTATTATATATCTGGGCCTATATTCAACCCGCTTTGAAGATGCTGGGGTCGACCCCCTTTTGGTGCACGAAAGACGGCAAGCGACTTTTGACTACAATGTCTTCGGCTTATTGTAGTTTAATATTCCCTCTGTTTTAAATTAGTTGTCGTTTTGGCAAAATGTATCTGCAAATATTTGGATATATCTGCAATACAAAACACGTCCAGATACGTCCAAATATTTGCAGATACATTTTGCCAAAATGACAACTAATTTGAAACGGAGGGAGTATATACAAAAGTTACATATAACTATATAAGTCTTCCACCGTAAAAGCAGGATGATGTTACACCCCACCACCACGACCGCCTCGACGGCCCCTACGGCCTCGACGTCCCCGGTCACCACGGCCACCTCTACTTTCCCTGTCTCCACCTGCGGCATATGTGGATTTATCCTCATGGTCAAGAGCACCACCACGTCCTTGGTCCAGTTCATACTTTGGGTCTTCTAATTGGTTTCCAGCAGCTTTTGTATACGAAAACAAAATTCGTTAACTTAAGCATATAATATAAACAATGGAAGAAGTAAAGTATATGATTATATATAACCATGTTTTTGTGTCATCCACGGAGACAACCACAGTGAGAGGGAAAACAGCCACAAACAAAAGAAACAACACTAGAAAAGCTCTCAAATTCATATTTAAAGTCTTTATCACATGAAGGTTAATTATGTTCCTTCACACTCGCTTTCTCTTATATATAGTAGCACCATAGGACATGTGACGTAACGAGAAAGTAGTTTTATGTTTATTGGTATACAACAAAAGATAATCAAGATACGTTAGTTGGCAGCTGAACGATGAAGTTGGGAGATAGATTAATGAAGAAAAAATCAAGCGATGAAGGATCTTGACACACATCTTGACCAAAAGCATTTTAGTTGGCAGGTGAAAATTTTGTCTGCTATCTACGTTGTCTCTTGAGCGAACACGTAGGATTTCGGGTAGCCACGTACGACGTTTTGGGGCGACTGCTGCTGTTCTCTCAATTATATAACTAAAGAGTATCTTAGCTTTACGTTATATTATAATTTTAATACAAAATATATACAAAACATATACAAAAAGAAAACTTTTTACCCACGTCAAAATAGATGACATAAATATAAAGAACATAGACGACTACATACTCATTACTACTTAGTTTTGGATTGAAAGTACAATATTTCTAAAATAATATCAAACCCCAACTATAGAGATAAATAATTACAAGAAAGTATTTCAAGACTCAAGAGGCCTGTGTTAGGAATGGCAAGTACGCGACTATAATTCCGTCTTCTTACCTTCGGACAGTCAAAGTTTGTTATTGCATAAACTCGTTTGACTAGAAATAATTGGCATGTTCATGCTTTAATTTTGTTTATTTGGCATCTCCTTTCTTTTCTCATAAAATGATTTTGAGCGCAACAGATTAGCTAGTAACGGATGTCGGCTGATATGTGATTGTAAGTTGAGAAAGACATTAAACTTATAAGATACTGAAGCCTATAAACATTCGGCCGAGTGTTGTGGTGCACACGTTCACATTATTGTAGTTTAATATACGTTAACACTTTGCATTTGAAAAAAACAGTTTCTGGATAGAGGCAGAGATATCCTACATTCCGCCTCCACCGCCTCCACGGCCACCTCCACTTCCTCCTCCTTGACCACCTCCACTTCCTCCTCCTCGACCGCCTCCACTTCCTCTACCGCTGCCTCCTTGACCTCCTCCACCAACTCTGCCTCCACTACCTCTGCCTCCACCACCGCCTTTGTATCCTCCTTGGCCACCGCCTCCTCCTCCCTTTTGACCTCCCTGGCCACCGCCTCTTCCTCCCTTTTGACCTCCCTGTCCACCTCCTCCCTTTTGACCCCCCTGACCACCTCCTCCCTTCTGTCCACCCTGACCTCCCTGGCCACCTCCTCCCTTCTGTCCACCCTGGCCTCCTTGGCCACCTCCTCCCTTCTGTCCACCCTGGCCTCCTTGGCCACCTCCTCCCTTCTGTCCACCCTGGCCACCGCCTCCCTTTTGACCTCCCTGGCCACCTCCACCGCCTCCCTTTTGACCTCCTTGGCCACCTCCTCCCTTCTGTCCACCCTGGCCTCCTTGGCTACCTCCTCCCTTCTGTCCACCATGGCCTCCTTGACCACTACCTCCCTTCTGTCCACCATGGCCTCCTTGGCCACTACCTCCCTTCTGTCCACCATGACCTCCTTGGCCACTACCTCCCTTCTGTCCTCCTTGGCCACCTTGGTTATATTTGGACTCATCCTCATTTCCACCAATGGTCTCATCAAAACCATCTCTTCCTTGTTCCATCTCATACTTAGCGTTATCTGCTTCTACAAAAGCAGTCTCTGCAGCATGTTCACAACTCCCGTACTTGCATGATGACTTTGAGTCATCTACTTGGTTTGCGCTAGCTTTACAATATAAGAAAAAATACTGTCAAACATACCATGCAAAGAAACGCATGCAAAAAGAAACAAAGGAGCAAAGGATATGACTATAACCTTGTTTTATGTCATCGACGGAAGCAATAACCGTGACGGCAAAAACAGCCGCTAACAAAAGAGACCACACTATAAAAGCTCTCGAATTCATCTTTGAAGTCTTTGCAATATGCAAACTTAATCAAAAGCCTACACACATTTATAGTTGCACCGTATGCTTGTGGAACAAGAAATAAAGACACGATGTAGTCTAAAAGAAAAACCAAGCGGTGAAGGACACTATGTCCTAAGGGCACATCATGACCAAAACATCTTAGTTGGCAGCTGGAAATTTAGTTTGTAAGCTTTGTTCAAGTCTCTGGAGGCAACACGTACGATTTCAGGTCGCCACGTACAAGGTTTTTCGGGACTAGTTTCAATCAGTACAATATAGTAAATTGTTATGGCAAAAAAACGAAAACTAACTATTAAACTATGTATCTGCTTTTACACACACACAAAAAGACTATGCAGCTGCCATTTGCATGTGTTCGTGTTGACATGTATATTTAGATGTTCGGAATAGTTGTGCATCTGGACAATGGACATAGACCTTGTGAAGGTGGCATCGGACACTTACCTCGTCTCATGCATGTGGACGTACAGTTACACTCGATACAAGAACATTATTTTATTTATTTTTTTTTTTTAATTATTAATGAACAGCAGGAATAAATGTAAATGAGATTAAACCATAACAAAATGAGATTAAACCATAAAAATATAGATAATACAAATAAATAACATACTCAATAAACCTAGAGACTTACGGCATTCTAGTAGTTGAACTTGAGGATTCACTTTGTAAGTCCAGTGACCAGACATGAGTCACATGACCCTGCGTGCTATGTATAAAATTTAAAAGGTTTTGCTATAGATCTCCATAATATATTACTTTTTAGGCAGCCAATTACAATTTTAAAAAATATTATCACAAAAGGTTCGTTTTTAGATATATATATTTTTTTTTTAAATGTTGTCACAAAAAACATGTTCTTACAAAATTTCTTAGATATGAGCTCAAACGTTTATAATTAAAGTGTAAACTCTTATTCCCTCCATTTTTTTTTAATATGTCATGTTTAAGGTCTTTTGACACATGTTAAAAAATAATTTAATTTTCGATTATTTTTGAAAAGAAAAAATGTTTTATCATCAATCATAAAACAACTCAACTAAAAAAAAAAAAAACTATATAACTTAGATAGTGGAAACAACAATTTTAATCTGGCCTTGAACTTAACAACACTAGGAGACCAAAGTACAAATCCTTCACTATTATGATCAATATTTGAACAAATTTAATAGCAAATTGCAAAATATTCTGGATTTCTAATTCCCACGTTTAATTTTGGGATTCGGCTTGAGATTTCACGGACATAAAAAAAAACAAAACAAATAACTTTTTTTTTTGATAAAGTAAACAAAACAAATCTCATCCAGCCAACTCATAAGGTGGAGGTAATCTGACAAAACAAGTGCGACAATGAAGGCCAAATGTATTAGTTGGACATAATAGGCAAATATATTGATGTTAACACCGTGTAGATAAGAATAAACCCTCCCAAGATGGGCTGACTAGTAAACAATGGTCTCAAATCAATGATCGACTAGCTAGAAGACGGTCCGAACGGGCTAACCTTAAAATGAAAAAAAAACAAGCAGGCAAGGGACGACGTCGTTTTTTTACAATATTTCAGTCGGGCAATAATCAGTAGTATTCACAAACAAATTATGATGTTACTTTTTTCTTCACGCTTTTCTATCTACGTTTGTTGTAAATATTAAAGATAGAAATTAAAAACTATATATTTTGAGGCAAAATAAATCAAAATTGAGGTATATATAGCTTTACAAACTAGCTAATAGATCAGATCGAATTGGAAAATGGAAAGAATTGTTTACAAGTTACACCTTTCGTCACTTGGCATGTGTAATGAATGCTTAAACTACTCTATACTCCCTCCGTTTCAAATTAGTTGTCATTTTGGCAAAATATATCTGTAAAAATTTGGACGTATCTGGACGTATTTTGCATTGTAGATACATCCAAATAATTGCAGATACATTTTCCCAAAACGACAACTAATTTGAAACGGAGAGAGTATTTTTTTTCTTTTCGTTTTGGCGTTGTCATCAGCTCCAAGCAAGGCTCCGTAATTTCTGGACAGTAATGTCTAGGGTTGATTTAACCATATGCACAAAGAAGAAATTCGAAGACGATTTCTGTTTATTCTATAAAAAGCAAAGACGGTCAAAATAAAGAAAACAAGGTCTCATTATAGGCCAATAGGCTTGCTTATTGGTGGAAATTATGAAACCATGACTGATTATTTTAAATACGGAAAGAACCTGGTGGTCAGTGTGGAACTTACTTGAAATAAAGTGTATATGATTCACCTTACGATCTCTAGAATATATTTCATATTGAAAATTCGTTTACGTATGTGATACAGTCTAGTCAAACGAAAATGACCTTTTAATGAATCACTTGTTGTTCATGACTCTTCTATGGATGTAGATAATGAGGTACGTAGGTCTGATAACTGCATTTCGGATGCGCGCGTTACGTAATAGATTATGATATTCCATATTTTATTACACGAATAGAGATTATTACAACACAAACTCAACAAAGAAAAAAAACACAAACTTTCCAAACTTTTTTTTTTATGTAATAACTTTTACCAAACCCGGCACTTCACTATATCGTAGGAGTTCCCTTTTATTTGACTAGAGACTGATACAACAACCGAAGCATGAGGAATCCTTCATATATATTAGACGCGCTGCCATAAGTCATATTCATGATTTTTAGTGAGCAGGCTCAGTTTGAACAGCTTCACCAGCATAAGCACAGCACCTCGAACAGCCACCGTAGCCTCTGTAGCAGCAGCCGTAGCGACAGTATCCTCCTCCACGTCCTCCATATCCACCACCACGGTTTCCACCATATCCACCACCACGGTTTCCACCGTATCCTCCACCACGATTTCCACCGTATCCTCCACCTTGGTTTCCACCATATCCTCCACCACGATTTCCACCGTATCCTCCACCTTGGTTTCCACCATATCCACCACCTTGGTTTCCTCCGTATCCTCCTCCTGGATACCGTCCATACTGATCAGTTTGCATTCCCTCTTCTTTCTCTGTTTCTCAAACCCCAAAATTTCGTGAATATATATTCTTATATATGCATCCAATAATTGGTAATCGGCCAGATCTCATATTTATTAAAAGTCTGAGTGAGATCTTGATCATTTTGATTGGTCCATATTTAACAAGACCGAAGTTTTATAAATTAGTTGCGAATAACGAATAGGTGTAAGTTTCTACATAGTAGAGATAACAAAATGAAATATCCATGACCAAAACCAAACCAAACTTTAAAGTGATTTATAGAAATAGTAAATAGGTTTTCAAATTTCAGGTATGTTCACGCTACACATAGAAGTTTCTTTCTTATGTAGTGACATTTACACGTACCATTGTTCTTATCTTCTGATGACTTTTCAGCGACGTCCCTGGCTGCTACCTCAGAGGCGATGAGAAGAACAACAATGAGACTTAAGAAAAGAAAAGCTTTATAAGCCATCGTAGACGATCTCTCGAAACACTAGTTTTGTTTATATAAAATGTTTTTTGTATTCAAGAAGACAAGAATTGTAGTGTAGAAGCTGGTGAGTATATTGTCCCATGCAAAGCTGCTATTTATAGAACGAGGTTGGTGTACGTGCGATAATATGCAAAACAAGAAGTAAAGGTTTATTAAAATAAATATTACAAGTCAATCCTCCAAAAATTTAATAGATGTCAAGTAGATAAGCGCAAATAGGTCATTGCAAGGGCCCATAGTACGGTTAGTTGTTGGATTGGTCTTAAATTTTTGCACCTCTTTAATTGGAGTTCACACTTAAGCTTCTTAGATATTTAGGTATCTATTATTTTTCTAAGCCAACAACGACAACACTAGTTGTTCATAATTCACTAGATTACGTGATTCAATTTTATTATTATGAAACTACTAGAATTACTGCTGAAGTTTACGCTAATTCCCGATGTCCAGAAAAATTTTAAGTACTTTTGCCACTTAAGATAACTATGGGTGTGCAAGCTGGTGGATAAGATGACTCTACACTGTAGTTGAAAAGATCTGTTATCTGGTTTAGACCAACATGCAAATTTTCAATAAGCCGAAACCAATAATCTCCTACTACATATTAATCATTTTTTAAAAAACTTTTGACTATTGCACTAAACTTTGATATGCTATTGATATAGGTTAATTTGTGTACAAATTTCAATTATTTTTCGTTTATAATTTTTTTTGTCGGATTTAAATCTTTGAAATAAGTAATGCATGAGAACTAGACATTAAATGTTGCTTTCTCTATCATGCATGTCACAATGAGTTACCTTCTCTACCACAGGATGTGATTCTGATCAATGTATACTTATCCCTTATATTTTGACGGACATGGTGGCAAATAACTTTCGCTTTTTTATTTCTTTCTAGAAATGATCATTCGAAGTATCTTTTCTTTTTGTTGGGATAAATGTCATTCAAAGGATTGGTCAATAGTAGAGGATCAATGGTTCTCATAAGTGTTTCCACATCAAAAGCCCGTCGCAAATAGATTTGTGGGGGAAAAACACATATTTCTAATATAGACCCAAACCCAATTATAGCAGAAACTCCAGATTATTCCTCCTAATTTTGTCCTAGATCTAATAGCATACCTTAGGAACCAGTTTGTTCTAACACACATATTTGGTGGTTTTACACACTATAGTCTATAGATCTGTACACTCTTTGAAAGATCGAAACTACACTTGTTATAACTTACAACATTTACCCTAGATGTATATAAGAAAAGATCTACACTCTAGTTTCATCCTTATCAAATAATTTATATTCTTCGATATTTTCAGTAAGTTTCCAATGTCACCTCACCACTTTAGAAACGTGTAGTATATTCCTCTTACTTTCCATGTTGCAACGTAGCAGCTTCTCTGCCAACATCATCTAGGTAACAACCCATAACAGTTATTGTGTCACACACGACTTTTTTTTTCCAGCAGCCTAGAATCCTTGGATCTAACAAATTTATACATAACTTTAGATAAATAACCTTGAATTCTTATGTATTATAAAAACTTGTAGAGCATTCCTGTTATTTCACATAAATAATATTGAAAGTATCTATAATTTGAGTTTTCCATGCATGAGACGTACTCCAATCTACCACATGAGGAAGAGAACCAATCAGGAAATCTAAATGTGGTCAAACTGTTAGATCCTGCTTGGTTTGACACCGAGCCCAGTTAAGATATCAGAGAATGATTTTTATATGCATATATGAAGTAATATTATCAAAGAAGATCACTAGATGAATTAATGAAAATTAAGTGAGAGATTGGTAGGTTGTTTGGTTACGGGTGGTAGCTATTTCATTACAAGAGGGCGTGGGTGACTCACCGGGATGGGCGGTCAGGGCGTTGTGTATGTACGATGTAATGGAAAAGGAGTGAGGAATATAAATTAAAGAATATAGGTGTAACGACCCGGACCCGTCGAATTTGGGAAAAGCCCATTTCGAAACTGAAGCCCACGAAACAGAAACCCTAATGACGTCACCCCCTTCTTCTTCGATCAAAAAGCTGCGCGTGAGAGGTGAGGAGTCACACGCTGCTGCTGAAGCAAATCGCTGCCAGAATCGCGAGAGAACCGCCGCCATCCCTGCTGCTCATTCCGACGCCGACCGTGAAGCCACAGCTCCCGTTGACCGCCGTAGAGCTTCTCCCGTGAGACGCAGTCGTCGAGAAAGCATCCCGACGCAACGTCTTCTCAGCTCTGCCGCCACAGCTCGTGTCGCCGTCGATCTCCTGGTCCGAGTCGTCACCATCGTCCGTGAAACCTCTCTGTGGTAAGAGATCCATGTTTCTCATCGTCACAGTTCATGTTACTTTTTCCCGAGAGATAGATCGAAGTCTGAATCTCCATTGTTGCTGTGTTGTTGTACCTTAGGCTGCAAGTCTTCATCACCCCTTCAAGTGTTGCTGTCGTCATTGTGGCTGGTGTGATCTGTCATTGTCCCGAAGGTATGCCGAGACGATCACGTCTTTGGTTTGGTTTGTGAGTATTATGGGATCATGAAATACACGTGTCTGACATGTGTTAGTATGGATTATGGTTTACGTAGGATTAAGTGTTGCTGTGAGTTGTTCTGCTGGAGAAGGTGTTAGAGTTGCCGAGTCGTCGTTTCATTTCCGTTTCAGCCAAAAGAGACTAAGGTGAGGACCTTGCGGTGATTTCCATTACATATGTTCATAATTATGAACATTTGTTTAGTCTTAGGTTTTAATACATATACCTACGTATATATATAAATAAATATACGTATTTGAGTGCTAAATATAAATATATTATTATATATAATATTAATGATTGTGTGAGAATAACCTAGATGTGGTTAAGTTGTTTAAAAATGAATACGGTTGATTGATGATTGAATAATGTGTGATGATGCGTGATTTAAGAGTGAGATCGATTGCGAGTCGATAAGTTAGAAATGTCATTTTAGACATGTGGCGGGTATATCCGCGGTAACGGCCACAAAGTGGATCCGTTTGTGTGTTGAGCTATGATGACGAGTCTTGCGTGGGCGGTCATAGTTCAGAAAAGGGCTGACGAGCCGGGTGCTGCATGGGCGTAGAAGGGTGGATTCCTGGAGCCGCAAGAGATGCAGGGACACCATAGTAATTTTAGGACTTGATCCTTGTTGTAATGGTGCGTCACTAGGGCGTGATGATTTACTGTGTGTTTTAACTTAAGATTAAACATCTGTCCGTGGTTATGAATGTGTGTGGTGGATCTAGTGAGCTCTAAGGCTCACACTCACTGAGTAATCCAAATTACTCACCCCTCCCTTTTCAGGTGAGCGTGCGGAGTAACCGGAGGAGTCAAATCGGTGTGGTGCTGTTTTTGGGAGCAAGGGCGGATTTTATTTAATTATATTATTTATTATGTTAAACTAAAAATACTTTAGTTGGTTTTATTTAATAATGGTTTAAAGACGGTTTTATGTTGAAACGGTTTAAGTTGGTTTAATAAGAGTATTATTTGAACTCGGAATTGGTTACTTGTGGTATAAGTTATTGAGGTGTTATGACTTCTTAAAGAAGGAAGAAACGGGTGTTACAAGTTGGTATCAGAGCAGGTTTGCCAAACCGGTTCTGTCCCGGGAGGCGGTTTTCAAAAAAAAAAAAAAAAAAAAAAGGGGGCGGGAAATTTTCAAAAGAGTTAAAAAGGTACCACCGGTATTGCACTTCTTTGGTGTTTTGTTGTGGTGTTGAGTTGTGAAGTTGGTTTGAGGCTATTTGATTCCAAGGAGTTGACCATTGTTGTGTTATGTTCATATGCCACCAAAGGGAAGAGGACGTGGAAAGGGACGTGCCGAAGCTCGTGGAGGAGCTACTACCCGTCAGGGAGCAAGAGCTGCAGCCCGAGAAGCGGTGTCAGAAAGTGTGCATGATGGAAACAGTGAGCAAGTGAATGCCGTTGCAGCTGCAGCAGCCGCTCAGGAAGATGTTCGAGCTGCCGAACATGCTGCTGTGTTGGAGGAACTTCAGAGGTACCAAACTCAGTTTGGAAATTTGGGTGTAGATCCAGTGGGAGGAGTAGGAGGAGTAGATGCACCGCCTCATGAAGCACCGAATGTTGCTGCTCCGGTCCACCGACCGCCGCCGCCGCCGCCACCTCCAGTGCAAGCTCACGGGTGGCAGATAACATATTGGGAGGCTATGGGCCATATGAAGAGCATGGGTACTGAAACTTTTGGGGGTAAGTCAAACCCCAACAGCTGCAGATGATTGGAGGAAAAAGTTAGAGCGCAACTTTGATGCAGTGAGGTGCCCGTTTGAGTACCGTAAGGATTTGGCGGTTCAGTATCTGAAGGAGGAGGCACTTGTTTGGTGGGAAGGTGTGACAGAGAAACTGCGCTATGAGCTGAACTACGATGACTTCAAGAACGAGTTCATGAGGAAGTACTTTTCCCGTGAAATGATGAACAAGATCAATAATGAGTTCAAGGACATTTCTCAGGGAAACCGGGATGTCAGGCAATATGAAGCGGAGTTCAACCGGTTGAGAAGGTTTGCGGGCAGGTACTTGGATGAGGAGGACCTAATCCGTAGGTTTCTGAAAGGAATGCGGGTCGAGTTGAGGAACCGCTGCATGCTTAAGGAATACATGTTTCTGGAAGACTTAGTCGAGACGGCTGCACAGCAGGAACTAGGATTGGAAGAGGATTTTAAGCAGAATAAGAGTGTCCAAGCAAAGACTGGGAAGAGGAGCTGGGATACTGCAAGTGCCGGGCCATCAACAACCCCTATTATTGTGTGCAAAACCTGCGGGAAGAGGCACCTCGGGACTTGCAGGAATGATATCACTTGCTTTAAGTGTAATCAGCGTGGGCATTATCAGAAGGAATGCCCTGCAAATGGTCAAGTAAGGGGTTGTTACCGCTGTGGAAAGACTGGTCACATCGCTAGAGACTGCATCGTTCGCCTACCAGGCCAGCAGCAAGGAGACCGCAACCGTGAGCAGTTACCGCCACCGCCGAAGAGGCAAGCTGTAGCCCCGCGCGTGTTTGTCGCTGGAGACCACAATGGCGCTGAACCGATTGCTGGTAAGTAATGTTTTATTTTTACTTCTATCATGCTTACGAAATATGGAAAGTTGTGTGTGGTGGATCTAGTGAGCTAAGGCTCACACTCACTGAGTAATCCAAATTACTCACCCCTCCCTTTTCAGGTGAGCGTGCGGGGTAATCGGAGGAGTCAAATCGGTGTGGTGCTGTTTTTGGGAGCAAGGGCGGATTTTATTTAATTATATTATTTATTATGTTAAACTAAAAATACTTTAGTTGGTTTTATTTAATAATGGTTTAAAGACGGTTTTATGTTGAAACGGTTTAAATTGGTTTAATAAGAGTATTATTTGAACTCGGAATTGGTTACTTAAGGTATAAGTTATTGAGGTGTTATGACTTCTTAAAGAAGGAAGAAACGGGTGTTACAATAGGTCTCTTTTAAAAGTGACGAAAATCTTCCTCCGAAAATCTTCAAGGCGAAACCAGCTGATTATGTCATCCAGTATATGCAAGTCCATGGCGTTATGATGTATTGAATTCCATTACTGGATCCTGCTTCCAATAGCGTAGAAACACGTACTAATTTCCAAAGACTGACCTTAAAGGAAAAACAATTGCTTGGCTATGTTCATCGTCAACACGAAAAATTCAAATGGAAATTTAGTTTGTTATAATTAATTCGGGCCCACTGCGATAAAAAAATGTATCCAAGTCAGGTAGTCGTCAAGGTAGGTGAGCCGAGTGTCATTGAGTGTAGAAAAGTGTATTTCTTGGCATCTTCTTGGTAAATTTTGTTAAAATTTGTATTGTGCAAAAACTTATGTAAGATCACTGAGTTCGATTCTCATCAAGAACACTTTTGCTTTTAATTGGTTAGTCTAAAGGATCCCACCCTTTCAATCTATTAGAAAATCTGATGAATGTATTAACGCTTATATTCATAAAAGAAATTAGTCGGAGACACAGACAACGAAGATAAAAAAATTAAGAGTACGAGTACTGAAAAAGACTATTACAAAAAACCGAAAGAGAGTAACATAAATTACAAACAATTTATTATGAGCACAACGAAGAAAAAAATACAAACACAGTGATTCGGAGGAGGTCTATTTCCTCCGCCCCATGGTGTTCCGTGTCCGTTGTATCCTCCGTAGCTCTGTTGGTCTGGGTGAAGTATTTCCTCACTCTCTGACTTCACAGTGTCTGTCCAAAACAATACATTAATATCAAAGATATATTGTTTAGCACGTGCAAATGTGCATTCTTCTTCAGGTGTTTAAAATTGTTTTTCTCCTTTGATTATTTTTTACAAAAGATATCTCTACAAATTCAGACCTCAAGTTTTAAATGAAAATAGAGTAAATATAAGTTCTATATAAACTCTGCACACCAAAATCTAACTCATACTTAAGTGCTTTAACAACAATACTTGAGTGCTTTAAAACTTGTATAGAACTTTTAAACTTGAGATCTTAGTGCTAACAAAATATAACTTCCTAGGCTCTTATGCTGCTCCATCAAACTTGAGATCAACATCATACTTAAGTGCTTTAACAAAAACAAACATCGTATATACTTGAGTGTTTACTCTAAGATTCAACATAAATCTTAAGTGTGTTTTGAAAATAGCCTCCAATGGAAAATATATATAGATAGAAACATATATATGTAATGTAATATAAGTACCCGACTGCGTTTCATATGCCGTCGCCACTTCCGAGACGACAAGAAGAACGGCAAAGAGACCCACCAGAATCAAAGCCTTGGAAACCATTTCTTCCAACTGTTTGTAAAACTCTTTTTTCTTGAGATACAAGTGCCGAATGAAAAATGTTGCTACTCTCTGCCCTCTATTTAAAGAAAAAAAAGTCAAATTTGTTTTAGTCAACAAAAGTAAGCCAAGCAGATAAAAGCTCAATTAACCAAACAGAAGGAACTACGTCGAGGAACAAATATCGAGTGAGAAAAGTCGATTTAATGACCAATCTGTAGTCCTATAAAAAAAAGAATGATGTCATCATAAGATTATTTACAATATTAAGATTATCTCATCAAATCATTATAGACATCATTTTCAACAACAGCAAAAAATGGTAAGGAGATAAGTATCAAAGTATGTATGTGTTATGTGTAGTTGTGTATTTATCAAAAAAAAAAATGCATGTGTAGTTGTGTACGTCAATTGCGTCGGCCCCTTTATGATGTAGATAATTCAATTCTTGGATCCTGTTTACAATAGAGGAGCAACACGTACTAACTACGAAGGACTGACACTTAAGGGTGAAAACGTTTGCTTGGCTTTATTCGACGTGAATACGAAAATTCAAATGTAAATTTGGTTGGCTATTGTTAATTCAAGCCGGCTGCGATCAAAATATCTTAAAATATCGCCTAATCGTCAAGTAGGCTAAGCTAGATGCGGTAAGCATTAGTAAAGGTGTCATTGATTGAGTGTAGACCTAAAAGTGTATTTTTCTTAGCATATTCTTGGTATATTAATTTACACATTGTTGTATATAATATCATTATTATTAACATTTTTGGTTAGTGAAAATCATCACCAAAATGATTATTTATAACGTGGAATCATTTAAAATTTGAAGGATTCTTTTGTATAAAAAAAAGGTTTCAACTCCAAAAAAATGTTGTACCTTCATTTTGAAGTTTAAAATATATAGAGTGGGATTTGAGAAGATTTCTCTCCAAATATAAACTTGGAGTGGAATTTGAGGTATGGTTTGAAGTGTTTTTATTGACTTAGTAAATGCAAAACCTCGATATAATCCCTAGCTAAGTGTCATTTTTCCTTTAAAATTTATTTTTTTCTCTCCAATTTTAAGAGTATGATGGATACTGAAAAACAGTTATTCCCTATGTCCCATATTATAAGCAGTTGGACAGAAGGAGTATTTTTTTTTTGACCAATACTGAAAAACAGTATTACATAAAACCGAAAGAGAATAACGAAAATTACAAAAGGTTTATCATAAAAACAAGGAAGATTACAACAGGCAATGGAGATCTAGATCTATAGGCTCCGCCCCATGGTACTCCGCGTTGGAGCTCTGCTCCGTAGCTCACTTGATCAGGGTGCAGTGTTTCCTCAGTACTCTTTGACGTCACAGTGCCTGTCCAAAACAATATTATTTCCAAGGATATTGTTTAGCACGTACAAATGTACGTGCATGTTTCTCCCCCTTTTTTTTGTTTCTTAATCATATCTATATATATAAACTCAGATCTCAAGTTTTTCTAAAAAATAAATAAATATACGTTCTATATATAAAGTTATAGGTCTGATACGTATATTCAATATGAGATCAACACCTTACGTAAGTGTTGTGACTTACTATAAAGATAAAACATAAAATCATAAGTATGTTTTGAAATATATAGACTGAAATATATATATACCAGACTGCCTTTCAGATGCCGTGGCTACTTGAGAGACGACAAGAACGGCGGCAAAGAGACCCACCAGAAGCAACGCCTTGGAAACCATTTTCTTCGATTGCTTATGTCACTAACTTTATGGAGAAACAAGTGAAGCATATATTAAATTGTTACCCTAACTGGCCTCTATTTAAACAAAACGAGGAGTGGCGTTCGATGAGAAAAGTCAAATATTGTTGTTGTTAGCAACAAAAGTATTTCAAACCAATCAAAGCTCAGATAACCAAACAGAGGAAGTACACTCATCAAATAAATTGTCAAATGAGAAAAGTATACGTCAATTGTGTCGGCCCACTTATCTATATATATATATATATATATATATAAAGTTTATGTTCTTCTCTCCTTATACCTTCTAAATTCTTTATTTGATCACATCAATATTTTTTAATTTATTATATTTTTTCTTTTTAATATTTTAATTTCATAATAATTAGCATTCATTACTATAATAAGTTTAAAAAGAATATGAAAAGTCACTTTTAAAAAAGGAGAAAGACTATGTATAAATCTAGAAAAACTATTATTTAGTAAATTTATTTTTGTTAGATTATATAATTTACATTGATGTCAAGATGTTATAAAAAGAACACTGATTTTTTTAACTATTTTGGGATGAAATGAGACGAGACCGAACAAGATGAGACGAAAAAAATATAACAAGAGAAATGGGATAAGACTGGATGAGACGAGACAGACAAATTAGACATGACGAGATGAAAAAACAGAATGAGACAGGATTGGACGGGACGGGATGAAAGGGACATAATGGGACGAGAAGGGACGGGACAGTAATTTCACCTACCCCTAATTATATTTAGGGACCGGACAAAGACAAGACAAAACCGAAAAAAATATAACATGATATGATGGGACTCGATAGGGCGGACAGACGGAACGGGACGGGAAAGAACGGGACAAGATGAAAAGAATGAAATGGGACGAGATGAAACTATACGGGAATTTTGTCTATCCTTAGTTATATTTAGGGAATGGGACGAGAAGAAACGGAAAGGAACATGATGAGACATAACAAAATGGAAAGGAACATAATGGGATAGGACGGGTTGGGATAGATATGATGGATGAGACGAGAAAGAATGGACATGATGAAAATGAACGAAATGGGATACAATGGGACAAGACAGTACGTTAATTTTGCCTAATCTAATTATTTTTAATAATATGTGTAATATTTTTGAAACAATAATAAACAATATAAATAAACTAAATTTGAGGAAAAATAATAAAATTAACAAAATAATATAAATTTCCGCGCGAAGCACTGATCACCTCCTAGTTATGTATATAATTCCTATTATTGAATTCATATTGGATCCCTACTTCCAATAAAAGAGCAACAGGTACTAGCTACTACTAAGGGCTGACTTTAAAGGATGGAAACAATTGCTTGGCTGTATTAATTGTAAATACGAAAATTCAAATGGAAATTTTGTTGGCTTTAGTTAATTCAGGCAGGCTGCGCGATCAGAAACTCCAGATTGTTCCTCCTAATTTTGTCCTAGATCTAAGAGCATACCTTAGGAACCAGACTGTCGTAACCCACATATTTAGTGGTGTTACACTGTTACATACTATAGATCTGTACAAATATCGAAACTACACTTTTTATAACTTACAAGGTTTACAACCGGCGCTTGTGGCTCGGTGGTAAAGGATCCTCAGCTGAGATACCCGCCACCTGGGTTCAAGTCCCGGCCACAACGGATTTAACATCCCTTCCATTGGGGCGCTGGACCTCACTTGTGGGGATAGTCGGGAATGTGGCTGCCTGGATACCAGAGTTATCAAAAAAAACTTACAAGATTTACCTAGATGTATATAAGATAAGATCTGCACTCTAGTTTTATCCTTGTCAAGTAATTTCTTTTCTTGGACATTTTCAATAAGTTTCCAATTATGTCACCCCACCACTTTAGAAACGTCAAACGTGTAGTATATTCCCCTTACTTTCCATTTTGCAACGCATCAGCTTCTCTGCCAAGATCATCTAGGTAACAACCCATGAGAGCTATTGTGTCACACACGACTATTTTCATTCCATCAGGCTAGAATATAATCCTTGGAGCTAACAAATTTATACATAATTTTAGATAAAATAATCTTGGATTCTTAAGTCTTGATAGTGTCTATAATAATCTTGGATTCAGTTTCACATAAATAGTTTTGAAAGTGTCTATAATTTGTGTTTTCTATGCATCAGACGTACTCCAATCTACCACATGAGGAAGAGAACCAATCAGGAAATCTAAATATGGTTAAACTGTTAGATCCTGCTTGGTTGGATATCAAGCCCAATTAAGAAATCAGAGAATGTTGTTTATATGCATATATGAGGTAATGTTATCAAAGAAGATCACTATATTAAGGGCCTGATTGGTTCTCCCGCTACCACCCGCAAACGCAGCGTTTGCGGTTCGTAGCGGTTTTCGGCGGTTTATAACAATCACGACAACCACTTTGAATCGCTCTATACCACTCTGTACCGCTCTATATCGCTGAAAATCAAAAGCTCCTTTCCGCAAGCGTTTGCGGTTGCGGGTGGATAATTAAAAAAAAAAAAAAAAAACACAAACTTATATAAAATCCGAAAATAAATAATAATATTTATTAAAAAATAAGATTTGGATAATAAAATCACAATATAAATAAAAAATTAGTACTTTTAGTCAATATTCATTAAAATCATATAATACTTATATATTTATAAGTTCTACAAATCAAAATTCTCTTGATAAATATTCTTTTCATACTAATACATATATATCTAATAAATAAAATTGTAAAATAAATTTAATTTTCACATTAAATATATATTTTGAAAATAAAATCACATTTTTATTTAAATTATAGAAATTAAAAGATAGACGTAAGTATTATACACATATTATTCTTTATAAAAAAATTATTTTTAATTATGTTGAACCATAAATTTAAAATTTTCATTATAATATATTTTTGATATTTTTATAATTATATAATGTGTTTATATTATTAATTTATTGTTTAACCGCTATTGCATCCGCAAGTGAACCAGTCATAAGTAACCCGCAAACGCATCCATTTTCAATTGTTATGCCAGTCGTACAAACCGCTTAATAACGCTACTAATCACAACCGCCCGCTTCCGCAAACTCCCGCACCCGCAACCGCAACCGCAGCGGTTAAACCAGTCAAGCCCTAATTAATGATAGCCAAGTGAGAGATTGCTGGGTTGTTTGGTTACGGACTTACGGGTGGTAGCCATTTAGTGACGAGAAAGCTCTCACTACAAAGAAGGCAATTTGTAAGTGTTAGTGACTGAGTCGGTGTATGGTAAACATAGATATAATCTCTACGTGTCTGGTTATCACTTTTCAAGAACAATAATATTTCTTTGGCTTTTTATCTCCAATACGCTTTTTTAGTTTATCACTTTTTACTCCTACAATTGGAGAAACAGATAAAAAGGCAAAGGAATATTGTTCTTAAACATATAAAAACGTTTATCTCCAATATGCGTTTTTAGTTTATCACTTCTTAAAGATAATATTCCTTTGCCTTTTTATCTGTATAATTGTTTGGTATGTAAAAATATGAGATCAACATCATACTTAAGTTAAGTGCTTTGCTTGAGTGTTTACTATAAGTTGCAACATAAATATTAAATATGTTTAGAAAATAGAGTCCAATGGAAAATGTATATAAACTGAAATACTGTATATATATATATATATATATATATATATAAGGTTGGGTCTGAGCCCATTCAAACAATTGTTTTGAATGAGGTCTTAGATTATTTTCTCCATAATTTTAGGGCCAATTTATATTTTAGATTTTTTAGATTAAATTATTTTTATTTTTCTGGTAAATTTGAAATTTGGAATAAGACTACACATCTCAGGCCCGGTCCAGTATATACGTAAAGTAATTTACTTTACTTTACGTATCCGATGCGTTTCAGATGCCGAGGCCTCTTCCGAGACGACAAGAAGAACGGCAAAGCCTTGGAAACCATTTTCTTGATCAACTGTTTGTAACACTCTTTTTTTATAAAGAAACAAGTGCCGCATAAAAAATGTTACTCTGTGCCTTCTATTAAGAGAAAAAAGTGGAGAATGAAAAAAAAGTCAATTTTTTAAGTCAACAAAAGTAAACCAAATACAGTAGATAAAAGCTCAATTAACCAAACAGAAGGAACTACGCCAAGGAACAAATATCGAGTAAGAAAAGTCGATTAACGATTAATTTGTAGACTTGTAGTCCTATAAAAAGAAAGTATGTGTATGTGTAGTGAGTGTGTACGTCAATTGCGTCGGCCCCATTATGATATAGATAATTCCATTACTGAATTCAATTACTGGGTCCGGTTTCAATAAAGGAGCGACACATACTAATCAGGAAGGACTGGTCCTTAATGGTGAAAACGTTGGTTTGGTCTTATTCATTGTCAATACGAAAATTCAAATGAATATTTGGTTGGTTTTATCTAAATCAGACAGGCTGCAATCAACATATCTATCTAGGTTGCCTAATCGTTAAGACGCTTACTCATCAGTTAATGAATCCTGTTTAGAGGAGCAACATATACTAATTAGTAATTATGAAGGACTGACCCTTCAAGATAAAGTGTTTGTTTGGCCTTATTTGTCATCAATATATATGAAAATTTGGTTGATTTTAATTAAATCAGGTAGGCTGCAATCAACATATATATCCATGTTGCTTAATTGTTTTTTTTTTTTTTGGTGAATATGTTGCTTAATTGTTGAGATGCTTAATCGTCAATATATTGTCGGGTCCTGCACCTGCTTACAATAAAAGAGCAACATGTACTAAAAACATCTTTGATTCACCCTCATATTTTCTTTTAAACTATATTTTAATGTGAAACTCATCTTCAACCCCAATACTTTTTTTTACTAATTCATCTTCAACCCATCTCTAATTCACTCTCATCATTATATTATAAATATATGACATGATTTATATTACATAAAAAGATTATAAATATATTTTAATATTTTATACATTACAAAGTAAATAATAGAAAACTTCTAAAAATTATATAAATAATAAATTATCTAAATTTTTTGAGAAGATGTGCACATTAATAAAAAGAATAAAGACTAACAATTTAATAGTCCGGTGAATTACTTCCGGATATACCAAGATCATTAAAGTATTCTCCAAATAAAGTTCGCTGAGGAGAAATTTGTAATACCCCTCCGTTTCATATTACTTGTCATTCTAGAGAGAATTTTTTGTTTCATATTACTTGTCATTTTGTGTTTCCAATGTAGATTAATTATATATTTTCCAGTTTTATCCTCATTCTTATTCATATCAAATAAAACTAAGTATTAAATAAGGGTAAAATAGCAAATTTAATGAATTTCTTAATATGTGTGAAAATCTCATGACAAATAAAAGGAAACAAAGGGAATATAATGTAATATTTTAATATAATTAATTAAATATTAACTTATTATAAAATATAAAGTATAATCTATCACATTTTATATTTAATGATGTAATGTAATTATTTTATATAATAATAGTTTAATTTGAATAATATAGTAATTTATGGAAATTTTCACCAAGAATAAATAAGGTGGCTAATTTGGGGAACTTATAAATAAAAGTTATACAGTAAATTTAGGTTTAGAATATTGTTTTTTTTTTAACACTAGATTGACTAATCTATTACACAAATATGAGAACACTATTACAAGACAATTCTACAACTGACGATTCTACCATCTTCAAAGGCTCCCCGGCCGACGGCTCCACGTGCACCATTCTGTAGACCTTTTGTAAGCTTGTCTCCAATAATCTGCATAAATTATTAGCAAATCGCATCTGCCAGGATTCGAAACCCAGACCTCCTGGTGTAGAAGCATTAAATCCCTTCAACCACTAGGCTAAGAGGCTTCCACACCAATAAGTAGGTTTAGAATATTGTTTTGGGTGTTAAAAATAAGAGAAATATTACACTTTTATAAGGAAACAATAAAGCAAGGGAGAAAATAAAACACGTTGATGATGGTCTAACTACAAAAGACTGCCTTTTAATGGTGAAAAGTTTGTTTGGCCTTATTCATCGTCAATACGAAAATTCAAATGAAACTTTGGTTGGTTTTAGTTAAATAAGGCATAATGTGATTAACATATCTATCCACGTTGCCTAATTTCTAGGGCTTTTGAAGCCCATATCCAACCATCTAGATAGTATGATATTGTCTTTGAACTCATGTATCTTAACTCTCACAGATTTGTTATTGAACTCCTTTCCAAAAAGCCTCATACTAGTTAAGTTGGACACTATATATATATATATACACTTCTTTGTCCAATCTTTTATTGTGGAACTTGGATTAATATCTAACATTCTCCCCTTCAAACCAAATACCACATTATATTGTGACTCCTCCACATGCACACGACCGTAATCACTTTACATAACTTTTGAGGGTTTTCTTCCCACGGCAAATATGTAGTGCCCACACCTACTTCTTCATGTCCATTTTATTAAATTTTGTCTCTGATACCAATTATAGGGCTTTTGAAGTCTGTGTCCAACCTTTTAACTAGTATGATATTATCCAATTTAGACTCATATATTTTAGCCCTCACGGATTTTAGCCCTTACAGATTTGTTATTGATTCATTCTCAAAAGGTTTCATACTAGTTAAGTTGGACACTACTTATATATTAGATACTTTTTTGTCTAATCTTTCAATGTTAACTTGGATTGATATCCAACATAATCATGCACCTAATCGTCAATTACTGGGTTTTGCTTACAATAGAGAGCAATACGTTCGAACTACAAATGACTGACCTTTAACGGTGAAAACTTTGTTTGGCCTTATTCATCGTTCGTAAGAAAATTCAAATGGAAATTTGATTGGTTTTAGTTAAATCAGGGAGGCTGCAATCAAAAAAATTATCCACATCGCCTAATTGTCAAGGCGTCTAATCGTCAAGGCGCCTAATCATCAATTATTGGGTTCTGCTTACAATAGAGGGGCAACACATACTAACTACGACTGACATTTAGTGGTGAAAACGTTTGTTTGTTCTTATTCATCGTCAATATGAAAAGTCAAATGGAAATTTGGTTGGCTGTACTTAAATCAGGCAAGTTGCCATCAAAATATCTATCTACATCGCCTGTCAAGGAGGCTTGATGTATCTCCTCCGTAGATGAGCTGAGCATTACTAAAGCCTAAAGGTGTTACGGAGTCTAGACTTATATTTGATTTGAAAGTGTATTTTTCTTAGCATCTTCTTGGTAAATTTGTTGACATTTGTATTGTTAAAAAACACATATGTAAGATCCCAAAACTCGGTGAGTAAATTATTCGACGTCTACATTCATCCTTACAAATTTAATTAGATATTCATATAATAATAATGAATTATAATATATATTCTTTTTTTATTGTGTTAAAAGATTATATTATATTAAAAAAACGCAGATCGAAGAAACCAACGATATTCATTTGGAGTGTAGAACAGCTGAATACATATCTGAATTCGTCGCTACAAAAATTAACATTAACGCTCACAAAATATATAACGTCCTAATTATAATATAAATGACTAATTTCTTTTATTTCCTTTAGATACCAAATTATGGATTCAGTAAAAGAAGATAGTTTGAGAGATGAAAAAAAAAAAAGATTTTGGAAGAGAGTAACTTCTTCCTCTAGTAAATAATCTGCTTTTTCCTCTATCGAAACATCGTCTTAGCAGATCGTGGGGGCATCAACATTGGAAATAGCGCAAGGCTGAGAACTCATGATTACGGGAAATGAGAAAATCCTAAAACAACAAATCATAAACAATAGTCCAGCTTTGGACAAATAGAGCCAATAAATTGAAAAATACGTAACAAAAAGAATGATATAGTTAGAACATCTCCAATACTCACCTTTAAAATAAATGGGATATACTTTTAAAATAAGGAGTTTGTAAATTTTGTTATAATGGAGATCCTTATTCTTGTCCCTTAAAAAAGTATTTTTGCATTATAGTCCTTAAAAGTAACTAGAATCAATTATAATACTAAAACTTTTCCAAAATGCAATAAAAACATTTTAATAAAATATTACACAATATTATTAATTAAAACATTACATAATAATATAAAATTACATTAAAACATAAAATTATATATAAAATATTAAACTAAATTACATTATTGTTTCCATAATTTTCCCATATGTGATCAATCAATGAATGTTTTTATTTGATTTTGTATGGTGATAATTAAATTTCTTATTAGATAGAGTAAATATTAAAAAAAAATTATAATTTTAGACTAAACTGAACACAAAAAGTATTATAAATGTTATTTGTGAGATTGTATAATTACAAGGACTAAAATGCAAATTCGATATATTTTTAAGGGAGTGAACAAACCCCTTATATTTAAGGGTATACTATTCATCCTTTTAAAATATAAAGGGATGAGGATCCATTGAAATGTAAAAACCCTTAAATTATAAAAGAATAAGGATCCATTGGAGATTCTCTTAGTATTGATTTTTTTCATTGATATTTTAAGCTTTCAGTAACACAGATCCGGCAAGGTTTGAGACCCCTCTTGTATACCAATATGTACCATATTATGTTGCTCCTAATGCCAGTCTAACTAACTCGCTAATCAACATTTGATCACTAATTACATGTTAGTGATAAAAACATGTGAATAGTATGTGTGTATATATATATATTTTATTTTTTTTGGTAATTAATGTGTATATTTTTAGTGAACTTAATAAGTGTTAGCGTTAATTTATGCAAAACTTTAAATATATATAGTGATTAGGTGTTTGTTTATCTGTTCTTTGAAGATATATAAATTCCCTAGCCAACTTATAGCACTGTTTCTCAAAACCGAAAGAGAATAAGAGGAACTGCAAACGATCTTATTATGAAAACAACGAAGATTACTACAATTCGAAAACAGAGACATTACATTATGAAACTTTATTCCCTTAACCCCTTAGTGCACTTGAGGTGTACTTACTTCATTACAAACGCACCATTGGCTCGCCTATACTCATACACATACATATGTGTCTGTATAGATGCAACCATGCATGGTGGTAAATACATTATATAGTTTTAGTGACCGGGCTGTGTCTGGACAGCTTCTCCGGCATAAGAGCAACACCTTGAGCAGTAGTAAGAGTTAACGCTCCTATAACAGCAGCCATAACGGCAATAAGCTCCTCCGCGGATTGGTGGTGTTGGCGGCGCTTGTCCGTATGCTGGGGGGAGTTGTGAATTTGGCGGTCCGTATGCTGGGGGGAGTTCATCAGGGTGCAGTGTTTCCTTGCTCTCTGATTTCACAGTCACTGTCCAAAACAATACATTTATTTCAAAGATATTGTTTACCCGTGCATCTGTGCATTCTTGTCTCGTTTTAAAAGTTGTTTTTCTTCTTAAAAAAAAAAATTCATATCCTTTAAAAAAAAAAGATAATAAATATTCAGATCTCCAAGGTAAAAAAAAAGAAGTATACGTTCTATATAAACTCTGCACAAAGAAAGCATACGTACAGATCATACTCAAGTTTCTTGACTTGCAATAAAGATTAAACATAATTCTTAAGTGTATTTTGAATAGCCTCCAATGGAATATATAATGTAATTCAAGTACCCGATTGCCGTCCAGATGCCATGGCCACTTCAGAGACGACAAGAAGAACTGCGAACAGACCCACCAGAATCAAAGCCTTGGAAGCCATTTTCTTCAACACTCTTTTGTTTATGAAGTAAGTGATGAGTAAAATGTTACCATGCATGGTCTCTATTTATATAGATCCTGGAATGAGAAAAGTCAATAAATCCATAATCCATTCGTCCAATAAGAAAGAAGGGAACATTTTATCAAAAGAAAAGTCTATGACAGATCACAATGGTAAGGAGGTAAGTATCAAATTATGTATGTTTACGGGCAATTGGGTCGGGCCCCTTATAGTTTGGTTCTTGGATTCATCGATATAATTCTCGAATCTGGCAACCACGCTAATATTTTTGATCTTTCTATGGGTCTAAATGGTAACCGAGGAATCTTGCTGAATGCAGAATCTGGCTGAATTAAATGATGAATAGTTGCAGAATCTGGATGATTAATTAGTAACATGAATAGTAACAGTTGAATTTTGCTGAATGTGAAATAAATACCTACCAAACTATTTGGGTAACAGAATAACAAAATATTTACCCAATTGAATAAATAAACTAAATAAAATCATATACTTTTAAAATAACTATATAATAATTTAATAAAATAAATTATTTAAAGTATATATCATTTTGGATTCTGAATTCAATTTATCTACCATGAAAGTTTATAAATTCTAATACATTGCACCATTTTGCAGGGAAAATATAATTCACAGTTGACTGTTGAAAAATAAAATAAAACACATGAAATCATGGTTTATGGAATACTCATATACACTTGAACAAATATTCTATTTTCCATTTTTCCGTTAGATAATGTTTATATAATTCTTTCACAAAAATCATGGTTAATGGAGATCATGTGAAACTATAAATGTTTTAAGTTAACAATAATCAACTTCTTAATTTAATTGATTACACTGTCATCATAATTTTTATTTAAAATAATACATATGGATTTAGAGACAATTTATATGTTTTCTTTATTCAGATGAAACTCATCTCGTATTTGCTGATTTATTCCCTCTTGTATTATTTGTATATAAACATCATCCACTGTTCTTTTTTATTTTTGCAAAAGTTTACTTCTTCACCTTCTCGAATTCACGAAATAGTTACTGTGTTAAAATAATTAAAAAAAAAATCTGAAATAACTAACTATTTTTTTAATTAAATAAACTGGTTGAAATGGATTTGTGTAAAACCTAACAAACAGTTTTGAATAGTTTGGATTTATAATATTAATCATTTATTAAATATTATGAATTTTTGTTCTCAGCTTCATTTCACTAAATTAAACCTGTAAAACAGCATTGTAAACAATAATATAATGTAAATGATGAACATATCTACACTTTCAAAACTAAGAAAATTTAATCAAATATTTTTTGACTATTATGTTTAATTTGTAAGTAATTTTATTTTTATTTAATTATAAATTTATAATAAAGCATAGTTTTTAATAGAATTTGTTATAATTATTTTAGAAATATACAACTAAAGTAATTTATGTTAATTATAATAAAATTTAATGATTATATTAAAATTATGTAAGTTTAATATTCACTTATTCAGTAGTTATTATATTTCTGAAAGCATATTTTGTCTTTTCACTACAAGAAAACATGCGAGTTGCGACGGACATTGCGAGGAAACTTAATCTCGTCGCAAATTTGCGATGCATTTGCGACGACGTAGCAACGGGTGCGAAAGCCGTCGCAAATACATCGCAAATTTGCGATGAGATCAAATTACCCGCCGATTCGTCGCAGATTTGCGAAGCATTTGCTACCACTTTGCGACGCAAGCAACAAAAGTCGCAAATCCCTCGCAAATTTGCGCCACAGTTGCGACAACCGATGTTCGTCGCAAATTTGCGAGAAACTTGCGATGCAATTGTGACGATGAGCTCAGTTCGTCGCAACTCCCTTGCAAAATTGCGACGGACTTGCGAGTAACAAAAGCAGCTGCCGACATTCCCAGTTAGGTACACCATGTGTTAAACAAATGCCACCTAACTTTTTGCGACAAATACCTTCCGTCGCAAAAAAGTAGCAAAATAGTCGCAACGTCATCGCAAGCTCGTCGCAAGTTTTATCCTTCGTAAATCCGTTGCAAAGTTCGCGGTTGGGTAAAGCACGTGTTAAATGTAGTCCACCCAACTTTTGCGATAAACTATTTCCGTCGCAATTCTATCGCAATTCTGTCGCAATTCCGTCGCAAAGTCGCCGCAGCTTTGTTTTTCCATGCAAATTCGTCGCAAAATTCCCCGCAAGTCCGCCGCTTACTTCTCACAATTCCCTCGCAAAATTTTGCTCTCCACTATAAATAGAGGCTCGTGAGAGTTCGGAATCCTCACACCAAAAATATCAAGAGAAAAAACGAGAGAAAAAAAAAATAGAAGAAGTGTCACACCAAAAACGAGAGAGAAAAAAAAAAGAAGTGAAAATTAAAGATTTGAGAGAGAGTAGTAATTCAGTAAATGTTAGACTTTTATTGAGAGGAAAAAAATGATTTATGAAATTTATGAGTTACGAAACTGGATGTACAACCACAAAGATCCGCAAACCGGTGAAGTGACGAAAGAGTTCAGAGCCGGGCTACGAGGATTCATTTTCCAGGCAAACAGTCAACAACTTGCAAAAGAGAACGGTAAAATATTTTGTCCATGTACAAATTGCAAGAACCAGAAATATGTAGATATTGATACCGTGAAAAGGCATGTTTTCAATAGAGGTTTTACGGAAAACTATTATATATGATTTTTTCATGGGGAAGATTATAATACTACATATGCAGCGGGAAGTAGTGGTACAAGTCATCATGGAGTTGACTTGAATAATTATAATACTAATTATAATTACAGTAGAGGTGATATTTTGGGAAATAAAGAAGGGTATCAGGAAGAAAATAGATTTCATGATATGGTCACAAATGCATTTCATGAAACTATAACTGGGTTGGGTGATGATAATCCTATGGAAAATATGGTAGAAGAACCCAACAGTGAAGCAAAAAAGTTTTATGATATGTTAGATGCCGCAAATCAACCGATCTACGATGGATGTAGAGAGGGGCTATCTAGATTGTCGCTAGCATCTAGGATGATGACAATTAAAAGTGAAGATAACCTAAGCCAAAATAGCATAAATAAGTGGGCTGGGCTATTTCAAGAGTATTTACCGGAAAATAATCTCTCAGCTGGTAATTACTATGAAATACAAAAGTTGGTGGCGAGTCTTGGGTTACCCTCCGAAATGATTGATGTATGCATTGACAATTGCATGATTTTCTGGAAAGATGATGATAAGCTCCAGGAATGTCGATTTTGTCAGAAGCCTAGATATCAACCAACTACTGGAAGAAGTCGTGTCCCGTATCAACGTATGTGGTATTTGCTAATCACTGATAGACTGAAACGGTTATATCAATCGGAAAGAACGTCAGCAGCAATGAGATGGCATGCCGAACATTTCACAACAGCTGGAGAGATAACACATCCCTCAGATGCAAAGGCATGGAAGCATTTTCAGAAGGTACACTCAGACTTTGCTAACGAGGACAGAAATTTTTATCTTGGTTTGTGCACAGATGGATTTAGTCCATTTGGTTTGTCAGGGAGACAATATTCACTATGGCCAGTCATCTTAACGCCATACAATCTTCCGCCGGATTTATGCATGCAACGAGAATTTTTGTTCATGAGCATTCTAGTGCCAGGTCCTAAGCATCCAAAGCGAGCCCTTGATGTATTCTTGCAACCTTTGATCCATGAGTTGAAGCAGCTGTGGTATTCGGGTGTTTGCACATTTGATTACTCGCGCCAACAAAACTTCAACATGCGCGTAGTGCTACTATGGACAATTAGTGACTTTCCAGCCTATGGAATGTTGTCGGGGTGGACTACACATGGAAGGTTATCTTGTCCATACTGCTTAGGTAGATCAGATGCATTTCAGCTGAAGTATGGGAGAAAACCATGTTGGTTTGATTGTCACCGGCGTTTTCTTCCTATCAATCATAAGTATCGGAAGAACAAAAAACTGTTTATGAAGAACAAGGCCGTCCGCGCTCCCCCTCCGCCCTACATCTCAGGAAATGACTTGCTTCAGGAGATAGATTATTATGGTGCTGAAGAAACATGTAAACAAGGAGGCAATTGGCACACTCCAGCAAACATGCCTGACCGGTATCTCTCAGAGCACAACTGGCACAAAAAGAGTATATTCTGGGAACTTCCATATTGGAAAGATCACCTCTTGCGGCACAATCTTGATGTTATGCACATCGAGAAAAACTTTTTTGATAACATCATGCATACAATTTTGAATGTTCAAGGAAAAAGTAAAGACAATATGAAATCAAGGCTAGATTTGGCAGAAAAATGTTGCAGAAGGGAGTTGGAAATTACTCGGGACGGGAAACAGCCTATTCCGAACTTTCGTTTGTCGGCGGATGCGAAAAGAGCTTTGTTTGACTGGGTCGCCTCATCTGTCAAATTTCCGGATGGATATGTGTCCAGATTCTCAAGATGTATAGAGCAAGGTACAAAATTTTCAGGTATGAAGAGCCACGATTGCCATGTATTTATGCAGAGATTACTACCATTTGCATTAAAGGAGCTTTTACCAATTCAAGTCCACGAAGCAATTGCGGGTAAATTGAAGATCTATTTACATATCTAATAATTAATCATTGATGTTTAAGTAGATAATTAACGAATTACTTATTTAATTTACCTTTCATAGGTATTGGAGCCTTTTTCCGAGATCTTTGCACCAGAACATTGACAGAAGCGGGCGTAGAAAAGTTGCGCAAAAATATTCCAATATTTCTATGTAACATGGAACAACACTTTCCACCTTCCTTTTTTGACGTGATGGAACATCTAACCGTGCATTTACCACATGAAGCGGATCTCGGAGGTCCCGTGCAGTTTAGATGGATGTACCCATTCGAACGTTTCATGGGACATTTAAAAGGAAAAGCAAAAAAACTTGCGAAAGTAGAGGGATCTATCGTTGCAGGGAGTTTGACGGAAGAGACATCTAACTTCACATCATATTATTTCAGTCCAACCGTTAGAACAAGAAGAACAACTCCAAAACGATATGACGATGGAGGTGTAGCGCCTACGTATGGACATTTTGTCCCAGATATATTCAGGCAAATTGGCAGACTTGCTGGGAAGTTAAAAGAAGAATCATGGGACCATAAACACGCTACAGCGGCTCACAGTTACATATTGCGTAATTTGGAGGAGGTGCAACAATTTGAGAGGTAACTACTAATCAATTTAATTAAGTCTTCATTTCGAGCATTTACTTACTATATCTAACTTGAAAGTAATCATGTGCAGTATTTTTGACGGCCAAATCCGTGAAGCATATCCTAATTTACAAGAAAATGAGTATGAGTTTTACAAAGAACGTGATTTTCCGGGATGGTTAAGATATTATGTAAGTGTTTCTCAGTTTATTATAACACCAATCGACACCCTACAATTATTTGATAAAAATTAAATTCGGTAAGTGATTTTTTTTTTGGATGTACGTAGGTGACTAACGGATGTCATCCACAGCCAATACCACTTTGGTTGCATGAGATTGTTCAAGAACCAATAGAAAAGGTCACATCTGCTCCAATGTACTTCACCCGAGGCTTCACATTTCATACGTACAGGCATGGAATACGGAAGTCAACTGCTAATTATGGTATACATGTCCCCGGTGTTACCAACTTCTATGGAGTTTTGCAAGACATTATGGAAGTCACATACCCAGGAATTATCAACATAAAATGCATTTTATTCAAATGTGACTGGTACGATCCGACACCCGACCGAGGGGTTCGTGAGAACAACTTAGGTGTGATCGACGTACATGCAAACAGGCGATTTTCCAAGTTTGAACCATTTATTCTTGCATCACAAGCAGAACAAGTGTGTTTCATACCTTATCCTCGGATTAAGCAAATACGTGAGACGTGGTTGTCTGTTATAAAGGTGAATCCACGAGGTTGTATAGTTGGTCTAGATGATGATGTGGCTATGCAGAATGACAGGGTAGCCCACATATCCACTCCGAGAGAAACCACAGAAGATATCTCACATATTGATCCCACCAATATGGAGGTGGAAGACATCATTGATGCGTCTACTGATGAAGAGCGGGATGAGTTCGCGGAGTCATCAAGTGATGAACTAGAGCATGACAGAAACTCTGATGCCTCTGAAAATGAATCTGATAATGAATATGATTAACTTCTTTTTATCAGTTTTTGTATTTCCCTTTGTACTGCAATTAAATAATTTTTTTTTTTAATACTACAAATTTCCAACGGATTTGCGAGGGATTTGCGACGATAGAAAACAAGTTTTTCCAACGACTTTGCGACGGATTTGCGAAAATCTGTTATAATTCGCTTTTCCAACGACTTTACAAGAGATTTGCGACTCAATTGCAAGGTTTGTGCGAAGGATTTGCGACGTTACATACATAATAGAGTATTTTAGGGTTTAGAAATGAAACGAACACGTTTATATTTCTAAATGAATGTTGTAAGCGTGTATATGACGCGTACAAACGCGGTTAACACTTCGTACACTTTTTTTACAGAATTAAAAAACTGAATTGATCATTTAGTATACTCTATATATATACTATATATACTATATATATATATATAACATAAAAAGCAAATAATGTTTTAGGTTAACGCGGTTAAAGATTTAGAGGTTTTAAAGAATTTACGTGAAAATTGTGTTTTGCTTAAGTTGTTAAGAAATTTAGAGTCAATGACAAACTTTTTATTCATAAAAACCATTTATAAATTAGAAATCCTAAACCCTAAAAACTTTCTGGCAAATCCGACGCAAAACCATTGCAAACACCTCCGAATCTTTAGGTCGTCTCTATTTTGTCGCAAATCCGACGCCGTTTCTCGAAACCCTAAAAAGGTTTCCTCGCAAACATCTCGCAAATTTGCGACGGAACTGTAAACGTTACAATTTCGTCGCAAAATAGCGGGGTATTTGCGACGGAATTATCCTCTACGATGACGTTTCGCGAAACCCTAAAATGGGAACTTCGCATATCTGTTGCAAATATCCAACAAATTTGCGACGGAAAGTAGTCTGTAACAATTCCGTCGCAAATTTGCGGGTCACTTGTGACGCTTTTGCGAAGATCTGGAGTTTCTATATAAAGATCTCCATTTTTTTACCCGACAAACCCTAATCCGCCTCTCTTCTCTCATCTCTTCTCTCCTCTTTTCGACCGCGATTTCCTTCACCGCCGTATACTCTCCTCCATCTCTCCTCCTCTCCGCCGACAGATCTTCTCCTCCGGGATCTCTTCTCCTCCATCTCTATCCGCGGCCGCCGTTCCCATCTCTCCGCCTCTAGGATCTCTTCCCTTCCGGCCAATTCTCCTCCGCCTCCTCTCTCCGCTGATATCTTCTTCCCGCATTCGTACGCCACCGCCTCTCTACGCCGACCTTTTCTTCCCGCATCCGTAGGCCTCCGCCTCCGGGATCTCTCCACCTCCGGGATCTCTCTCCGCCTCCTTTCCATCTCCGCCTCCGTTCAGCCTCCGCCTCTGCTGCCGGTATCGGGATCAGTTTATCAGCGTAAACCAATTTTTTCTTCAGTTTCTGATTTTTTTTTTTTTTTTTTTAATTATTGTTAATTTTTCAGCTTCAGATTTGCTAATGTGAATTTTAGTATTTTTTTTTGATTTGGTTGAATAAAAACTTGTGAGTTTAGGTTGATTTAGTTGTTTTAGTTGAACAAAAACTTGTGAGTTTAGGTTGATTTACTTGATTTAGTTGATTATGAGTTTATATTGATTTAGTTGCTTCAGTTGATTATGAGTTTAGATTGAGTTAGTTGAATAAAAAGTTTGGGCGGAGGAAATTAGTCTGGTTTTTGAGTTTATTTCTTAGAATAAAATTGTATTGAAAATGTTAGTGTTTAGTTTCCGATTTTGCTCTTGTGATTTTTAGTATTTCTTGTTGATTTAGTTGTATAAAAACTTGTTAGCTTAGGTTGATTTTTTTCGGTTTTACGATTGTTGTAGGATAATTACATGTTTGATTGAATTGGTTTATTTTTTATTTGACTATTTGCTTAAAGTGTTGTTCTTCAATGGTTTGTTTTTCAGATGGATGATGATAATCCTACCCCACAAGCCCCACCGCCTCCCTGGGGCAATGATTACACTCGGTACCTGACGGGTGGAGGAGGCTCCAGTCCGAGGCCGAGTCCGGGTTCAGCTGGTTCTCGTAGCCGTTCAGGTGGCCGCTCAGGTGGACGCTCAGGTTCTCGTGGGAGTCCTGGGATTTCTAGTTCTCATACATCTACGGTTCCTGAGCAGCAGCCTCAGCAGTCATTCACTGAAGAGACACCTGTTGAGTCTCCTCCAATTTCTCAGCCTCAGCCTCGAGTTCGGCGTCCACGGCCCCCTCTTACCGAGGAACGCCAGAGATATTTTGCGGAGATAAAGACTATTCTCGATAGTCCTGGACATGAACGTCTCCGGCGACTCGATCCTCTTCGTCTTCATAAGACTTTTTGGTACGTGTACCTTTCAAGCTAACTTTTTTTTATTTTTTTAATAGTCTTAATATTATTTCAATGTATGTTTTTTCTTTTTCAGGTTTAACGATGATCCGTTAGTTGCTCAGGAAGTCCGATCTGTCTTTGTGAGAGATTTCAAAGAACCTCATGCCAATTGGGGCCAAATTCCCAAACATGTCATCGACCGTTGGTTTATAACATTTGCGGTAAGGTTTTTTTTTTATGGTTAGTTCTTTTTTTGATTAAAAAATATGCTTTGTTTGTTCTTTTAGCATAAGTTTCATTGGGAGTTTGGCTATTCGGAATTAGTCCGTGAGGAGTTTGAAGAGAAAGTGAAGGACAGGTTGCCTGACTTCGTGGGACGGTTAAAGAAGTCCTACCTTGAGAAAGGCGACATAGCCAAACCAGAATGGTGGGCTTTGCAATTTGTGGAAGGCTTGAAAGCGTTTTGGGCGGATCCTGGTCACCAGTATCGAAGTGACAATGGTAGGGCGGCTCGATACTATGATCCCAATGGGAAAGGGATTCCCAAACACCGATCCGGCCAGACATCATTTAGAGCTAGATGACGAAAGATTGTAAGTTTCCTAAATTATATTGTTATTTATACTATTTGGTTATTTGTTTCATTTATTTATACTATTAATTATTTGTTTATTTTTCTAAGGCGGAGGAAACCGGAGAATCAGTCCCGGATTTGCTCAAGGTTTTGGAGGTCACAAAACGTAATCCCGATGGATCTTTTGTGGATGGAGATTCAGAGGCGTTGTATAATGATGTCACTTCCAAGTTGGAGGAGATGAGTCACGGGAGCGAGATCTCTGGCGGGCTTTCTACAACCCGCAAGAACAAAGTCTTTCTCGAGGTAAGAATTAAGATATTATGTTTTCTTAACATATAGTTATTGTTATATAATGTCTTTTAACATCACTTTTGTTTTTTCAACAGACTGCACCACGCAAGAAAGGAAGGATTCGCGGGATTGGTTCTCTCCAATCGCAGATCGACTGTTCGATTGGTGATTCTCTTCATGGCTCCGTCTCATCTCGATCTGAGGAATCCCGAGAGTTGGCAGAGATGAAGGCTCGGCTTGCTTCTCAAAACACGATGTTAGCATGCTACAAGGAGATGTTTGACGTTTTGGTCACACAGGATGACCGCCTAGCATCTATTATGGCACGCCATTTATCACAGCAGCAGCCGGGATCTAGCAGTGCACAACATCCGCCATCGCCATCTGACGGAACTGACGGAACGGGAACAGGAACCAACTCTACTCAGTTTTAGTTTTATTACTTCTTTGAACTTTTAAGACTATTTTCTTGTTTTGTTGAACTTTTTTATGTTAAGTTTTTATTTGAATAATAGAATTTTCATATGTTTCATTTCGAAATTTTGTTGATTTAATTTTATAAAAAAAAGAATTTGAAAAATCGTATTGAAAAATTAAAAAAAAAGAAAACGCACAATTGCGATGGCAGTTTGCGACGACTATATTTGTGTCGCAAATTTGCGACAAACAAGTCCATCGCAAAATTGGTCGCACATTTGCGACAAACAAATCCATCGCAAAATTGGTCGCACATTTGCGACGAACATATCTGTCGCAGAGTTCCGTTGCAAACTTGCGACCACATTTGCGAGGACAACACATTCATCGCAAATTTGCAGCGGCCTTTTCGATGAAGAGTTCGTCGCACATTTGCGACGGAAGTGCAATGGAGTACGTCGTCACAAATTCGCGACGGAAGTTGCAACGGAAATATTTCTCGCACATTTGCGACTACACACGCCCTCGCAAAATTTGCGACATTAAGTTTTGACACACATCCTTCGCAAATTTGTGACGCAAATTTGCAACGACATACTTGCGTCGCAAGTTCGCAACGGATTTGCGTCGCAGAAATCCGTCGCACATTTGCGAGCCATTTGCGACGAAAATATATTTGCGACTCACGATTTGCGACGAAAATGACATTCTCGCAAATTCATCGCAACTAGCTATTTGCGACGGAAGCGCGACGATATTGTCCCTCGCAAATCGGGTATATTTCTTGTAGTGTTTGGTCCATAGTTTTTTACTTTTTATATTCCTCATAGTTCTTCAATTCTTCAATTGTGCAATTCCTCAAACTTAACTGGTAACAATTCATCTACATTCCACAGAATTCCACAATTCTGCTGTATTCCACATACACCAGTTAGGCTATATTAACGTTTCAAACGTAGCGCATTCACACAAATGCCTTATTGGATTATTAGTTGACATGAAAAGTCGTCTATTATTGGACTTGTTTGTAACTGGTAATTTAAGACTTGACTCTAAAAGGGGCAAAATTTTGCGTTGCTATATTTATGGTGAAAACAAATATAATAAAGACACTTGTTTTTTTATTGGAAATTTGCTTGGCTATAGTTAATTCAACCCGAGTTTGATCAAAATATCTACCAAAATCAGGTATTTGTAATGTGAGCTTGATACGTAGCTGAGAACTGAAATTAACATTATTGTTAAAGGTAACAGAGTGTAGATATGTAAAATTTTGTTGTTTATGGGTGAAAAATGTAGATATGTAGTTGCCGTCCATATACTCGTATTTGACTAAAGTAGTTTTTTTTTTTACTAGCATTTTCTTTGTTAATTTGTTGATACTTTCTAATAATTGTCTAAGATTATGCAGAAACTTTTTTGAGGGGTGTTTTTCAATTGTGGAATTTAATAAAATTTAAATCCAATCATAATTCAATGTTATACAATTATTAATTATATAGTATGCCTTTCGATTTAGTATTATTATATATTTTTATCTTTGTAAATTATGTTTAAGACATGTTAAGTGTATAACTATGTTATTGACAACAAAAGTTGATTAATAATACAAATTAGACAAATCTAATTATTACCACGAGAATGACACCATAATTATTTTGCTATAGAATTTGCAATACCATTGAAGCAAATGCTATTGCAAAATAGCATAAAGTGACAAATTTGGTACGAGGTTGGAGATGCTCTTAGGCCACACAAATGAACTAGGCATCTCCAATTAATTCCTTGCTCAGAAAACACTTTGGCTGATAAAATTGCAAAAGAATCTCTACAAGATTTCTTGTTTGCTCATATTCTGTAAGACTCTAGTTTTCGTAATGAGAATGTGGTTGTTGTTCTTTCTTTTCTATCTAGAATTATATTGAACTAGGGATGAAAGCCCCGCGCAAGCGCATGGTTGTTCGCGATAATTTTTCTGTTTGATTTTATTTATATTCATTGATTTGAAATTTTGAATTATGATGGTTATATGTTAACTTTCATGTTTTGGTTATATTTTGAGTTAACCCAACAATTAACACTAACAATATGATCAATTTTTTTTATTAAGATATTAACACCTTACTTCATCTCGAGTTTTCTATTTCTAAAATTTAATATGCATTTGACTCAACGTTAAAATTTGTAAACATGATGTAGAATCGCAATTGCACTCAAAATATGATGAAAAAAAAAACATGTATAACTTCTTACATATATGCTTTATTGTGGTAGCATGTGAGAATTGATTATTTTCTATTATGTTAGTTTTGTAGATATAAATTGTATTTTTGAAACAAACATATCACCATTCTTAAAATTTTCATGCTTTTCGTTGCAATGAAATTTAAATAATAACTCGACTTCTATTTTTTAATAAAACAAACTCTAACTCTAATTTTTTATTAGCTTTTTACTATGTTAAATAATTTATAATGTACCTTTTTTACTTGTAAGCATATTATAACATTTTTAAATAGGATAAATCCTTTGAATTAAAACTTAACTATATACTATTTCAAGTTAAATATTTCTTTATTTCATCTCCATTTTATATTACAACTTTCTTTTAACTTTTAACATCAAGATATCACATACTTTATATTAATCAATTAAATTGTTTGTGTATTTTTCTTAGTTTTGTTTATGTGTAAAATAGGAATATATATAAATAAATATTAATACACATATATTAAATAGCTTAAATACAATTAATGATTTTTTTGCTGATGTGGATGGCCTAGGAGGAGAGAGCAACTCTCCTATTATATATAAAATTGAAGAAAGATACAGGGTGTTAGACACCAACCAAACCTACCAATAAGAGGACAACAACCCAAGATCAAGGATAAAACCAACCAACATACAGATGCACACTCCTCCATGTGAAATATTCATCTTCATTGGAACCTTTTGGTAGTAGTCGTGACCAAGATCAAGGATAAAACCACGACCCTCTCAAACCTCTCAAAAACAATAGAGTAGAGGAAGGGACAAAAAAATACAACCATCCAAAAAATGTGACCAGGCTCTAGACAGAGGAGTGAACTCTCTCACTGACAAAGATATCATTCAACCAATGAGGATGGCCCGACGCAACATACGACTGCCCCCAATCTCCTCTAACAACATTTTGTGCGATGAGATAAGCTCCTCTGTTAGTACATCTGGGTTCCAGCTCAAATTTCAAATCTTCAAACCATGGCATGACAGTGTAAAACTCAAAAGCTTGCAACTTGAAAGACAGCCAAGCTTTAGGTCTTTCCATAACACCCACCATGTGGTTGTTGTTCAAAAATGGCTCTTTTAAATTGAAAAAAGAAAATATTAATATTTATTAGATGAGTATCAGAGTCTCTCCAATAGGTGAGGAACTCTTCCAATATTTTCCTTTTGAGTAATTTTAAATACTTTTGGATGTAAATCTCAAAAATATTTATATATTTTTCTTTTTCAATTTGAGGATCTATGTGAAAAACTCTGAAATTGAGAATAATTAAATTACACATTTATACAAAACCGAAGGAAAATAACGTAAACCACGATCGATTCTTATCTTATATATAATTAGGGAGTTGCTCTCTCCTCTTAGAGTGTACACATCAGCAAAAAAAAAGTACAAATTAATTAAATTAAAATTAATGATTCAATTAATATATACACTTTCATAATATCATTGAATGATTTATTATTCAACCAAAAGTATAAAAATGTATCAAAAAAAGAAGTGATTAACAAAAATATAAAAGACAAAAATAAATAAAAATTGGTTGAACTTAATATTTAAAAGATTAAAAGTTAATTTTTAACAGTAGTTGCAAGAGATTTATTTTTAAAATAAAAAAATGTACTGAAAATTTAAAATGTCTAAAATTCATAATAATATATATTATGTAAAAAGATAGTGTATGTAATAAAATTTCATGGAAAATGTTTAACTGTTGAAAGCTAACAGTTAAATTTAAGTAATAAAAATAAGTTATATATAAAACTAAATTATTGATTTTGATGTTAAAAAAAATTAAGTATTGACTATTTCTAACATTTTAAAAAAAGTCACTCAAATTTTTTTTGTTTGTATAAATATATAATAAATAAACATCAATATCATATATACAGAACGATACATAAAGGAAAAACATTAAAAGAGCATAGTTTGTAAAGTATATAAATAATGATGAACAACCAAAAATATATACAAACAACCTCACGCTTGCGCGGGAGTACAATTCCTAGTTATGAAAACAACAAAGATTACAACTCAAACACAGACATTGCGTTTCAAACTTTATTCCCATAGTTGCGCTTGTGTATTTATCCTGCCCCTTAGTAAACATACAACATGAGGCAATTACTTCATGACAAACGCACCAATGATTTACTATACTCACACACACAAACCGAAGCGTATATATAGATGCAGCCATGCATGGTGGTGACAGTCGATATTTTTTGTTGCTTCTATGTTGCTTCTATGTTGTTATCTGTCTTGTAATCGTTCTAAAGGAAAGCTTACCACATGTTTTGATACGATTTGTTTTCTTTTTATTGGAAATACTAAACAGATAACAACATAGAAGCAACAAAGATCAAAAGGATACTAAAAAGGATACACACAAAGACTAAAATCAGTTCTATTGACTTCTCCAGAACAGTTTCTAAGGCAAAAGCTTGCCAAATTCGATTTTTTGTTTTCTTTTCACCTAATAAGTAAGAACATGTGCCAAGGCTCGCCATTGCTCATGCTCTGAGTCAAGAGTTTTCAGAAACATTAAGAACTCCTAACCATGTCCTTTTCTGATTGGTGTGGTTTTTTTAACATAAAGAAAAAGAAAAGAAATCTCTTCTCCCATTTCTCTCTCCCTTGTTATATAAACAAGGAGAGAGATTCTTCGGCGATCCTCAATCAATTCACTCCATCGCCATTCTAATCTTTGATCGCCGGTTTCTTATTACTCGAACAAAGCTTTCTTTTTGC